TCTCTCTCTCACTCTCTGTCTGCCCATTGTTTATGAATGAATGCGTGAGAAGTGTCTCTCCCTCTCTCTCTCTCTTACCCATCCCGATGCCGTCGACGTCACCGGGGCCAACCAGCCCCTTTTCCCGCCCTTCTACCATTGGATGGATGGTCCGTTGAGGGTACCCCATCCACCCAATCCCAATCCACCCTCTTTTCTAGCCCTTTAGCTGGACGGCCTTTGATCCCTCCCCGCCCTTCACTATCTCAGGCTGGGCTGCTCGCCACACTCTCAGCTGGCTTGTAACGTTGGGCTTGCAATTTTTTGCTGATCTATAGACTTTCTAAGTGGCATTTTAGCTGTCTTTATTGCCCTTACTTTTTTAGCTACAAACGCCAACCACGTAGGTAGGCAATACGTCCGCCGACGTACTTTTACGCATCGACACGCGTCTATGCCTGCGCTGTTAAGGTAATTCAACTTGCTCAAAATCGATCCTTCCTGGCCCTAGGTCTCGATAACTACGCCCTGCACCTAATCACACAAGTGGCATACTTTTAACTTGCCCGGAAACACTGTTAGTTCCGTACACGCTGCATCTATTTTCAATTTCTCATAGCTGTCGAGAGCTGTGGGTCGCGGGAAGCTACTTTCCAGACTTCCCCGCGTCCTTTAATTCAACCTCCCGTCGTTGAGAAGCTTTCAAGCATTGCCATTCATGATTTGGGCCATTTCAGCTCCCATAAAGCCAGTTTTTGGCGTCTTCATTGATTTTCTTAGAAAAATTTTTCAAGAAATTGCTTTGGAAATCGTTCTAACGCATAAATGTAGTAATAGTGAATTAGTTACCTTAATTTAAGTACTTACGTAAACTAGAGACTTTTTCGCGCTGTTTGATCTATCTTGAGGGAAGCCCTTTTGGTAAATGCAAGCTTGTCAACAAGGGTGAACCCTTGCTCTTCGGATCTCCGCCTAATCGATTTTTACTCGACATTAATCGTCGAAATTTATTTTGCTTCTAGTTTTGTCTCTTAAAAAGGCTCTTTATACTTAATTTGCTCAATGTTAAATGTGTTTTTCAGGTTTTTACTTACAATTTTGAAAAATCAGGGCTGCCGCGCTGAGTTTTCTTTCACATTGCATTCTTAAAAATTTGATGATTTCATTGATGTTTCCAGAATCCACCCCGTTTCCACGTGGTCCAGGCCGCCGGCCCGTGCCCGTTTGTTTCGAGCGTATTGTGGCGTACAAATCGAGGGGTGGCCCTGGCGGGTACCCGTGATACGGCCACGTATGGCCCTGACACCATGGCCCTCCTCTCAGTGCTTACCATCATTTTTGCGGCTTTTTTTTATAGGACAGGTGAGTGAGCATGCGTGGTGTTTGGGGTATGTGTCGCGTGCGTCGCGTGCGTGACGGTTTGGTTCACGTGGCGCGTCGTTTGGGGCCTCGCTTGCGTGGCGGCGTCGCGTGCATGAGGCTGCATGACGGCTTGCGTCGCGGCTTGCGTTTGCGTCGCGGCTTGCGTCGCGTGCGTCTTGTCTTGCGTAAGCGTTGCGTGCGTCCGCTGAAACCCTCGGCCCGTATTCTAAGATCTGCCCGGCCCCGAACACTTCAATCCAAAACTTCAGACCGATGCCCTTCATCAATATTCCTTGACTGGTCTTCGGAAATGCCGAATGGCGGTGTTCGGGCATTCGTCCTCGATTCATTCGCCCCCAGTCGGCATTCCGCCACGCTCCGCCGGGACACACTTGTCGAGGTGAGAGTTTTGTCATAATTCGCTCATCCGTGATGTCGCATTTGTTATCGATGGCAACTCTTATTTTTCAGAAGTGCCCAACAGTTGCTCCTCAATCAGACGATGCCCGCCACCGATTACTCGATATTTTTGACGGCATTGATGACAGATGGGTCGAGGAGGAACGTCTCCGAGAAGCATCTCCCTTCAAGTTGGTCCCTCTGTCCCTCTCTCTTCTCCTCTCTCTCTCTCTCTCTCTCTCTCTCTCTCTCTTTCTCTCTCTCTTTCTCTCGCATTTTCCCAGCTATGGTATTATCTGACTTACAAACATACCACTGTCGAACAGACACAGCGTGTCGCGTGCCGTTGAACAATAAGCCTGTTTGCCATCGGGCTTCCCCGTAGCGTTGCGTATTCATTTTTGCACCTCCTCTGTCCGGGTGACCGTGATCATTTAAAGCATGGGTTCAGAAAATAGCGTTTGTTACGCATACGCTTGGCTACCTGGGGAGGGGGGGGGGAGGGCACGAGCGGAGAGAGAGAGAGAGAGAGAGAGAGAGAGAGAGAGCTAGCGAGCGAAAAATCTATCCTAAACCCAGATCCAATCAATTAATGTAACACTTCCAGGCCCAAATCCGCCAATCCTGGACTCGATCGAGACGACCCCCACCGATGCGACCATCTCGTATTTTCCGCCTGAGGGCAGCGAGATTTCGTATTACATCGGTAAGGCGATTTCCGGTCTCTTTTAAAGCTCCATCTAACGCCGTTTTAAAAACAATCGGAAACGAGAACAAACTGCGCCAAAACGTTAGCAAATATTTTGGCACGCACCGTTTTCAAATTTTATTATTACTACTGCTATAGCCTTTCTTGCGCCGATTCCACTTTTATTTCTTCAGAATATTTCCCCGTCGACCGCGAGGAATATGCAAATTTTGTGGAGACGAAGTCGGCGCTGGTGAAACTTCGCGGCCTCGATCCGTCAACGAATTTTCGGTTGCGGTATGGAGATTGTAAAATACATATATACCCAATCGATTTTATAGCGTGCTCTCCGTGTTCCGCGGCGTGCCATCTACCGAATCGATCGATACGACATTTTCCACGAAAGGTACGTGAAAATTGTTGCTTGCTAAACATTGCTCGGCTCAAGTTCTAATAATTTTCCAAAACTGCATCGTCGCCTGGGTCTATTAATGCACGAATCGGGGAATCGGTTGGGTCGGGACTTTGGGAGGCTATTAATGCCTTTAAAGGGGTAGGAAAGCCGCGAATATTCATGTTTTTCGAGCCGCAACTCTCTGTCGAGACCTAGTGAAGAAAGGGTCGATTCTACGGTTTCTAGATACCTTTAAATGGCCCCTAAACACAACGCCTCCTAACCTTAATCGACTGGGGCATTGCTGGCCCATTTCAGACCTCGGCTCGGGCGAGGACATGTCCCTCTTCACGATCAAAACCCTGCCCCCCGGACCTCGACCTCGGCTCCGTGACGCTACCCACAATGACGAGTAAGGACGAGTGCCGAGCGGAGCGTTGTGGATACTGATATTTTATTAATTATTCTTTGAAAGAGACATATTCTAGTGCCTGATACTCGCTTTGAATCGACTTAATCATTTAACCTAATTTTTGGATGTTTTTTGAGTGTTTAGCATGGAAATTACTTATTTGAATGCTACGTTTTGGCCCGCAAAAATGCTTACAAACTCTTTTTCGATGCATGACTATTTTTTGCTTTCAAAAAAAAAGGATGATTCTAAGAGATTTCCCAAGCTTCCGCAAATCTACTAATTCCGCTGGCAGGTTTTGCTTTATGTAATGCTTTCTAAAAACTTTGATATACTTAAAAGCGTTGGGTATCGATGATAATGTGTAGTGGGCCTGATATAGGCTTAGGCTTAGGCTGAGGCTTGGCTTAAGCCAGGCTTTGGCTTAGCTAAGACTTCCGCACAACTAAAATATCCTTTTAGACGGCTCGAAAGAAAAGGAATACGAATACGCGTCGAAAGAAGATTATCAAGGCGCCGGCGGAGCTGCCAATAACCTGGTGGAAGAGCAGAAGAATCAGGTCCGAGCTTTTGGTGTGGATTTTTTCGGAGTGTGCTCTCTTCAGTTAAAGTACCTTCTCCCATGGAATGCGGTTTTGGCGTTAGGAATGAGCACTGTACTAAACGGAATGAAACGGAAAGTATGAAAAACTGTGGACTGAACTGCTCGAACTTGCGCTAGCTTTCCAGCCGTGATTTTAGGGTGGTGCGCTTAACTTTCGGTTCAATGAGTTTAAAGATAGATTATGCCGCGTCGCCCGCATTTGGCCTGTTGCAGCTGAACTGCTCCAACATGTTTTTGTTCGGTTTATAGGCTAAAAAAATCCTAAAATTCGCAGCGGAATTAATTTTGTGTTCTTTCTAGCCTAATAAGGGGTGATATTCATTGACGTGATGAAGCTGATATTAATGCGTTTATAGTTTTAACCTTTGATGAAACTTTCTAAACCCAACTTTCAAACACTTTAACTTTCAAGCTTTAAAAAAATTTTTCGACAAGTTTTGGATAATAAAATACCCAAAAACCACTAACCACCGAGTGTAATTTAGACGGACGTCACACCGGATGGGGACCAATACTACTACCAAGCCCGGAGGGCGTGACGCCCGGTAGATGAGGTAACCGAAGCACCACCAGTCCCGCGCATTGTCATCACCGTCACCGACAAGGTCTCCACTTCGCATACCCCGTCTGAATCCACCATTGAATTCTCCCGACGACGGCTGAAGAAGAACTCGAAGTAGATGATGAGTCGGATCGAGACGTCGACGTCCCGGATGGAGAATTGGAGAATGGCAGCAGCACTGGAACCCATGATATTTCACCCCCACACCACCACCACCACAATGTTCACCACCACACCCCAAGTACGTCTTCAGGTTTGACGCGTTCCCGAGATTGTGTAGATCTTTTGCTATAGAAATATTGGTCCTGGACTGTATTCTAGGGAACGAAATTTTCCCTGCTATTCTCTAGGGCCCTATAAGAAAACATCGACGATTTTATAGCATTTACATAGTTTTTCGATATTACAACAATAGAAGAAAACTAATAAAAACAATAAGAAAATTTTGACGGTTTTTAACTTTTCGCTCAAAATTGTCAAAAAAGGTAAAAATTTTATATTTTAAAGAATTTTCGACGTTTGGAAAAATAGTTTTTACGTTTTTCTTTTTCTAGCAAGGTCGAAAAACAAAAGTGGTTTTCCCTTGCGAAAATCCCCCACCCCGCTAACAGTGAAGAACCGAAAGATTCTCAAACCAGATCTTGCCCACAATAACTATTTTTGTAGTCAACCACCAAAAGAGTGATATGAAAGTGACGAGAAGATCATCAACGACGACAACCACGACGTCAACCACCACCACCACCACTACCACACCATCCACCACAGCACCCATCATCAGCAGAGGGTGCGAGTGTTTCACACGGTTTTTTTCTGTGGTGTTTTAAAGGGACAGGCAAGGCACGATCAGGAATTTATTAGTGATGGTTTTCTATGGACTTCGCCGACGCCGCCTTCCGCATCACGATAAATCGCTAAATCGCCTTGCCTTGCCAGCCCTTTAAATTGGCCACATATGCTGTAGAAAATTAGGATTTTGACACTTTTGACCAAAGTTTAGCACTATAACAATCCAAACTCTAGGAGATCAACCCGAGCAATGGCCCAAAACGACAGAGGCCATCGAAATGGAAGTGGTCGACTATGGCTCCGAGGTTTCAGCCCCAGTGCCAGGGTGATTGCGGAAGAAGCTGGTCAGCCTAGCATCAACCTGGATGGTTATGGCGATCCGTCGGATATTTGGATCTCGAAGGAGGGAAAAATGCTCAAGTACGTCTTTCTCCCGCTTTCTGGCTCGCTCTCTTCCGCTCTCGCTCTCGCGCTCTCTCGTGGACTGGACCTCGAACTCGAACCCACTCACTCGCTCTCTCAATCTCGCTCTCGCTCTCTATCTCACTCTCTCACTTTCTCACGCTCCCTCTCTCTCACGCTCACGCTCTCTGACTAGCTCTCTCGCTCTCTTTCTCTCACTCGCGGCTCTATCACACTCGCTCACGCTCTCTGACTAGCTCTCTCACTCTCTTTCGCTGTCGCTCTCGCGCTCTCTCTGCCTCTCTCTCTCCCTTCCTAAGATCTCACTGCCTTCCAGAATCGAATGGGAAGTGGCCGAGGAGTCAGTATGTGACGCTTTCCTCGTCAACTACACCGTCTTGACGCTGTCCCAACCAAAAGCCTTCTCTGTCGCCTCGCAGGACAGCTTCGTACTCATCAAAATGTTCACCGACCATAAGCTGGAGGTCATACTGTTGATTTAAATTTTACAAAATTTTTCAACCTAATTTTAGGTTCAAGTCCATGATATTTTTTCAGGCTAAAGTCTTCTGCATGCTATCGGGTGCGCTTTCCAAGACCTGGTGGGCTCACCGTATCATCGACCTCAGCAGTAAGTAATTATACGGAACTTGTTTTCCCTAATATTTTCTCTATTAATTTCCCGATTTCAGAACCGCAAGCCATCCACGGTCTACGCGTTGTAAACGTCGAAACCGACGACTTCTACGTGGCCAAAATCGAGCTCGAATGGGACTGGCCGGTCTTCCACGATTTCAAACACAACGATATCGTCGTGCTGTATGGCGTTGGAAAGGTTGGCTTGGATTGTATAAAGATAAGAGCTGAATTAAGCCCCAAAAATTCCTTGAGCATCAAAGTTTAGGCTCCTCCTAAAAAGCTCGAAGTCACCGAAAAGGGGAAGGTCGTGTTGGACAAGCTCGAGCCAACTGAAGAGTACATCATCACGGTGCGCAACATCAGCCGCGAGTTGGGCATCAACAGCCAAGACGCCATCATCAAGCAGCAGACGAGTAAGTTGCGCATTAACGGCAACACGATGAAGTTAGATTCAAAAATTAAATATAGGTTCTGTACTGACGGGGAAACCAAATTTCTCCCAGTAATCCCGTACGTAAAGTGTTTTATAGAATTTTAAAACGCTTTTAGATTAACCAATCACCTAAAAATCCTAAAATTTTCAAAAGTATTTTTGGTGAATGTATGAAAAAACACCAAAATAAGTAAAATTCGCTTTATTTAAAGCTTTTTAAATATTTTTTCTGAATATTTCCCAGAAAACTACGAAAAACACTAGGACCAATCATCTCATCCACGCTATATCCCGGCCAAATCTCGTCTACCTCCATCAACATCAATTTCGGCGAATCGGACCCGGAACAGGTATAACCTAAAATCTTAAATTGCCTTCTCAACTTCTCCATCGTTTAGGGAAAATTCGAGCACTACGAGCTCGACTTCACCGGCAACAACAAGAACATCACCCGGAAAATTGCCATGGACAAGGAGTAAGTGAAAATCGTTTGAAAAACAGCTAATCGTTTTAGCCGCTCGTTCACCTTCACCAAGTTAATCCCCGGCAAGACGTACAAGTTCTCCCTCTTCACCGTCTACAAATCGATGCGCAGCCGGCCGGTTGTCGCCGAAATTACGACCTGTACGTTCATTCGGCTTTTTCCAAAAGAACGCCTGTCTTTTAAGAATTTACTTTTTTTTTAATTATGCATTTTCTATTCTTGTGTATTTATATATTATTATACTTTATTTAATTTTCTAGACCCGCTAAAAGTCGAGAAATTGCGCCCAATCGTCGGGAGGGACTACGCCTCGCTACACTGGGACATTGAAAATTTTGCCGATAACGACGTGCGCTTCCGGCTGAGGTAGGAGATTTCAAGCTATTCAACAAAAAACATTCAGCGGTACTGGTGTGTTAGCGGGGGGGGGGCGGACTTTACTTTAGTATCCATTTTTGCTAGTATAAATGCTGTTCTTAGCTGTTTTTACTATTCCTAAACGTAAAAACTCAAACCCGAGTACGATAATACGAATCAATACCGTATAAAATGGAGAATACCGTGAGAAATGAAAAATACGAATAAAAGAATCAAAAATACGAAAAATACCGTTTTTCGATCATTTATTCGGATTTTCCAAAGGTTTTAGATCCTTGCCCTCGATATATAGTTAAATTTTATTAAAATACGTATGCTAGCAGATATTACGCTTTCTGAACCTGTCGAAAAAGTTGGTCCCTCTGACGATAAAGCGAAAGCACATAACAAAATACATGAAATACGTATTTGATCCCAAACGAAGCTCATCTTTACGTTAAGCTACATCGCAACGTCGAACGATGGTGCCAGAAAGGAGCGGACCGTTCAGCTGAAGAACACCAACCACTATCGATTTGATGAGCTCGACCTGGAGACGTACTACACCTTCACAATTACCGTCATTATGGGGGTGAGTAGAGGGGAAATGGCTGGACGTCCAGGCGTTTTTCTAAAGGAAGCAAAATAGCAAACAAGTGCTTAGATTGGCGAAGCGGAAGCGGAAAGTGAAAGCGAAATGGTGACGGTGGCTTTCGGGAAAGACGTCCGCTCGAAGCCGGCCCTGAAACGGCATGGGACTCGCGAGTTGGCGCTGATCTTCGAAAACGATCACAATATGTGGCACGAGCTCAATGGGCCCTTCAACAACTTTGCAGTGATTGTGGCGGAGGATATTGAGGTTGGGAGGAAAATTACCGAGATTTTACCATGAAATTCGTGCTCGGAATTTCGGCGCATGGTACTTTGGCATTATCGGGGGGGGGGGGGCGGGTACCGTACTTTCTCCATCAATTTTGCAGTGTTTCTAATAAAATTGGGCATTTTGCAAATGCAAATCATCGAGAAAACGTGGAAATGGCTCTGAAATTTTGAGAATTCGGTCGAAAAATTGCTATATCTGTATTTTTTGCTTAAAATTGTATAGTCCAGTCCAGTCATCTCCCCCCCCCGATAATGGAAAAGATCCCCGGTAAGCCAGTTACCATCCCCATAAACCCAATTTTAGCTTGGCGGTGACGATTACGAGTTGCGCTCGTGGTTCGAGGTGCACAACGACGACAAGTGGCCCTCCTACCGGGCCAGCCGTTCCGACTATCAGCCATTCTCAAAGCGTGGTGTCAAAGAGGCCATGTTTATCATCGGAGAGGACGACTGTGAGCAGCAGCGCCTTGATGAACCGGTGGGTGTTGATCTGACAACGTTACAGAAGCAATTAGAAACCCTATAAAATAAAATCCAAGCATTTTAGTACTGCAACGGAATGCTGCGCGCCAACACCAAGTACCTGGCCAAAGTACGCGGTTACACCGACGAGGGCGTGGCGATGGAGACGGACTGGGTGGCCATACATGGACACACTAACGGACAAGGAGATGGAGATGAGGATGAGGAGGAAGAAGAAGGTTTGAGCACCACCTAGGTTCTTGAAAACGTTGTTTTCAGACCCAGGCCTCCCGTGTCATATGTACCTCAACGGATGTCCCCGCAAGGGGGACAAGGGCAAATCGGGTGGGATCTGGAAGTCGATCATGTCCGCCATCGGATTCCTCGGTATCTTGATGCTCTGAGACCTCTCTGCACCTCCACTTCTTCTTCGTCGTCTTCTTGACGTCGCACGCACCGTGTGTGTGGAATTGTTGGCGTGTTGATGATGATGCAGTCGTCGCACGTCTGCTGAGAATTCGTCGTTCCGCCACTTTTTTGGTTGGCTGGGCGGCTGTATCAAAAAAAAATCGGAAAACACCGAAGAGCCCAGCCAAACCCATCCACTCCCCACCAGAAATCTTGCCCTTTTTCGTGTTTTTCGCGTGCGAGTGCTGTTCAATTTTGTTTAGGCACTTTTGCAATAACGGGGGGGCTAAACTTTTCGTAAATTACAACTTTCTTGATATAAATAACGGAAATCGAAGTTTGTTGCTAGTCATAAACGTAACAAATCGCCATATTTTCGGTTTCGAAGCACCAAAATAATCAAAAAAAAATAGATTTTTCCAGAGAATATTGAAATTTTCAAAACTTTTCGAACGTCTGAAGATAATTTTGACCCAAAATTCTATCTGTAAATTGTATGAAAGACACCATCAAAATGCTGCCCCCTCGATAATGCAAAAGTACCTTTTTTCCCGCAGTCAAAAGCACCAATCAGCGAGAAGCCCCCCTCAAAGCCCTAACAAGTTTGCAAAAATGTTCTCACTCCCCGCGAATTGATGTGCGTGTTTTTGTGTGTCCCCTAAAATAACCCCACGCAATTGCTCTCCCCCAATACCTCGCTTTTAGCCCCCGGCCCTGTTGTTGTGACGTGAGCTTTTCCTAGAATTTTTTTATTGGCAAGAAGTCGAGGCTTTCCCCCTTACAAAAAGCGTCTTTCAGGCTAATGCTTCCGGGAGGATTCGACAACGCTAACGGATTTTCTTACACCAATTTTTTTCAGTGCCGCTTAGCCGATTCCTAATTCCAGAGCCAATCCGTCCCCCGTAAATCTGCTACCATTTATATTACCCTTTCCCCCTACAATCCCACTTCCCTCCCCCCCTATTTATTCGTATTTATTATTATCGACTATTTCATGCAAAATATGGGTTGACCGCAAGAGGGCTTTCTCACAGTAGCTGTCTTTCTACATAACAATTGTCTAACCGTCTGTCGCCGGAGAACTTCCATTGTCGCATTTGCTCAATAAAGATATTATGCTTGGCAAAAGGGTACGCAAAAAGCAGAATACCATTCTTTGCCACTTCCACAGCTTCCGGTCTCTTCTAGAAATGAGGTTAAGGCAAAAAAATAACGGACCAGCATCCGCACCGATATATCGTTAAAAACCCTTCATTAAAATCTGGTGCTTTCGCATTATCCGGGAGGGGGTGATTATCGGGCGCATCAATTTTTTCCTTTAGGATCCCATTTTGCTAATATGACTAATAAGTACTCACTTAAGTGAAGCCCTTTTTGTTCTAAAATGACTACTTCTTCAAATCATTACAAAAAAAAGAACGTTTTTCGTCCATAAATCGCTTTTTTTTAATCCAAGGTCCACATTTTTAAATGTACAAGTTTTCAGACAGTTTTTCCTCTTGAACTATTGATAAATTTTACCAAAAGCAATTTCACATTTGTTGTAACGTTCCATATTTATGCACTTATACAAATAAAATCAGTCCCCGATAATCCGAAAGAACGAATAATCTGAGCGTCCTCGAGGCCCAGACGCCAAAAGAAAAAAAGCGGCTTCCACCTCATTACAATTCATGCTCAGAATATGTAACGGCAGCATATGGCTTTATACATATATAAGTAGCATAATTTTGATAGCATGTAGATACACTCTCATTAGCATACCTTTGATATAATAAAATCGCAATTCCCCCCGCACCTCGTACCCGATAATCCATTCTCCATCTACTGCCTACAACATGCCGGTGCGTTCCAAATTCACTGCCTTACACAGCTTTCTGAAAATCTACTGTTCAGGCTACTTCGCAAGACAGTCGCTCGACGGCCTCGGCACCGGGCGCGAACTCGGCGAACAGCTCGCTGCGCAGCCAGTCTGCCTCCCGCAAGGCCACCAAAAGCGATGCCAGCAAGAGGAAGTCACACAAGAAGCCGGTATTTTCATTGTTTAACGGCACACAGCTTCTCGTGTAGTCTCGGGACGCGCGCAAGGATCTGTTCAACAGCGTCGGCCGCATCAAGCACCGCTCCAAGCCGTCGAAGCGCTCGGCGCGCAAGTCGAAGAGCCGCCGCTCCAAGGTATCAGCTCAACCAAGAAAGGAAGAATAGCTTTCAGAAACGCTCGACCAAGTCGAAAAAGAACCGCTCGACGGTTGGTACATACTCCACGGCAGCCGTGGAGGAAATCGATGAAGCGACGCACGCCTACATTATCTGCGTCAAGGTGGCCGTCTCGCTGCTGTGCCTCGTCCAGGCGTTCTTCGTCTGCTACGTTTTCATCGGGTTCATCATGGTCGAGAAAAACCTGCCCGTGTCCACCGGCTTGGTACGATACGGATGATGTGAAGATTCTAATATTTTCAGCTCGTCAGCATGCTGCACCTCATTGTCATCTCGCTCACCGTGGAGATTATCGTCTATTCCACCAAGCGTAGCCGTAGCACATATACTAATCGCAAATTATAGAGCTCTGCATGTTCACTATGGCCACCGACCTGGGCTGCGTGCTCACCTCGTTCCTCTACGTCGCCATCAAGGAGGCGGCCAACAAGGAGCCGGGCTATTCCGGGTCGCAAAGTCTGGAGATGCTGCGCAATAGTGTCCTTGTCTCCGCTGAATCATGCCTCCTGCTGGTAGGACGGCCCATACATAACTAAAATAAATCGCATTAAATTAGGTGACCAACTTGTGCCTGGTCGTTACCCTCTACACGGAGATCAAGGCAGCCGAGAAAAACAAATGTAAGTCACCAGAACTTTCCTGAACTAATATCTTAGGCTACGTCACGAACAACATCGGCGTGTCGCTGCACAAGTATGATATCGAATGTGGCGGCCCGCAGAAGCAGTGTGAAGCCAAGCGTGGGCTTCTCGGCAAGCTCGTCGCTTACGGCAACAATTCCCTCAGCTCTGGAAACGCCAAGGTTTGTCCCTAACCAGCTCGCAAATATCCAAATTCAGAAAGAGACCGCCGAGCCTGCCAAGGATAATTCGGAAAGTTGCCGCAAGTCAGCCGGCCCTGATTCCAGCTGCAAGACGGCTCAGTCCGTTTCCGCACCGCTAGGTACTGACTTCGAGCTTTCAAACGTAATCATCCTTTAATTTAGCCGAGTTTTCCACCCGTCAAAAGACTTCCTCGCCTCCGAAGACGGCCATTATCATCCCTTCCACCAACTCTAGCGGGTAAGGTCTCTGAAGGAAAGCTAAACTATTTCTGAGGATTTCGCGACTATAGCTACTAATTTAGGGCGCAACACCCTGTGCCACCGCCCATGAAGTATGCCTTCGATCAGCCTCCGTCTGCCGTTGCACCTACCACCCTAAAGGCCTAAAACACGGAAGAATGGCAGCCACCCGACTAGCTGCATGCATATCTCGCCGAAGGATGAACCCATGCATCCTCCCAGCCCTTTCGCCCAGTCTTTCGTGTTCCCAATGTATTCCGATCCCCTGCATAAATCTTCTTGGGCATAGTCATCGTCAGCGCGAGCCAATGCCGAAACTGTGGACATGCATTTATTGAAAACGTGCAAAAGTGGAAGCGGCAATCACAGAAAATTTGATACACAGATCACAATCAATTAGCTTCAACAACCAGGTCAGTGTAGATGAGGGTAGACTCCATATCGGCCGGCAGCACGGGCACCTTCTTGATAGACTTGCGCAGATTCTTCGCCAAATCCACCATGATTTTCGGCTTGATCGTTTCGATTAGGCTTTTGACGAGCGAGATCCCTCCGATCTTCAGGTCACCGTGGAAGTACATCTCGAATTGGATTTTCCCTAAAAACAACACGATAAAAAGTTTGAAAAAGTTAAGCGAATAAATGGCCCGATTTCGGAATAGGGGACCCACTTTGATTGTTGTAACACCACTATCGCTGGGGTAATTTTGAGCGTCCGTTCCGAAAAACGATAAGCCCGTAAAAAACTGGGACAATCAAAGTGGGCCCTCTATTTTACGAAATAGCGCAGAACCCGTGGAAAACTGACCCTCGCCTAAATCCTTGATGACGTAGCCGCCGAGATGTTGGCTGGTGCGCACGTGGTCCTTCACCTCGGGGACACTGTCCAAGTTCACCGAGCGTGCGGCGGCGATGACGGTATCGGAGCGAGCATCAATGGCGACGACGTCGATTGAATCACGGGCGCTGAGAGGCATCCTCTTTCGGGTAAGGTGGTGGACGACCTTCATCGAAGGCGTCAGCTCTTGGACCACTTCGGCGCCCTGAAAAACGTAAATGCAAAATGTCGGAGAAACATTGTGTCAGTTTCAAAATAAACGCACCGACAACAAATCGTCCCACTCGAGACGATAGGACATCCAGGGCAGAACGAGTGCGAGCACGTGGTTGGTGGAAGTACCCTAGAACAAAAATTATTTAAACAAACGCGGTAAATTACCTCAAGAACAAATGATGCCTTGACGATATCCTCGGGGCAAGCGGCGTCCTCGCTTTTGCGGGTGAAGACCTTGATGTCCGACTCGGAGAACTTGGATGGGTTGAAGGCGTCCGGCTTGTCGTGATGGGCCCACAGGTCCGCGATGGCGCCCTTGCCGACGGCGATGAGGTACTCGTTCTGCTCGGCCATGGTGATGATGAAGCTACCTGAAAGCGGAAAAATGGAATTAATCATCGTAACACAGCAAGTTTGGAAAAATGAGGGAAAGTAAGAAGAGAAAAGTAAAGGTAAAACCAAAATTGTGATAATGGAATTCAGGAAAGAACGCGGTACGAAAAAGGAAAGGTTCGGGTGGGACGGTTTGAAAACGCCCCATCGGAAATGCTAAAGTCCTGCAACGACCGGATACGGTTGTGGCCGGTGTCTAAAAGTTGACCTGTGACTTGGAATTAGTATCTTGCCGGAATTTTATGCTCCACAGCGATTTTGAACATTCTTTAGTTTTTTGCGAACTGATTTCGGCCGTTTTATTTATTTTTTTAGCTTCGAGACCACATAATTTCAAGATTTAGCAATCCCTCGACAGCCCTCTGGGTACTTATCAAGTTGGGGGGGGGGCCACTTTGGTTTTCGATTTTTTGAGTCTTTCTAGGCTAGTTTTTGTGCTGGTTTCGAATATAACAAAATCAGAGTAGTAAAATACACTTATCTAAACGTTTGTTAAGATTTAGAGATGCAGACACCCGGTATTAACCTAAAAATAAGGCTTCGTGCCACCCGGGGCCTAGTCGCTTCGGATGGGTGCGAGCTCGTACAGGGTTTCGAAATCGGGGCGCCCGAGGCGCGGCGCGAAGCGGCCAGGCGCCCCGATTTCGAAAGAGTGGAGCGGCAGCCCATCCGAAGCGACGGCCCACCTTGCCTGACAATGCGGTAAGCCTCAATTTTTGCATAAGTACACTTTTATTAATAAATTTTTACGCGGTTTTTCTGGATAAACCCGACGGTTTCGCATGCTGTGGCTACTCTCTATGCACTCAGCGTAAAAAACTACCCCAGATAGACTCGAAAAAGCGATAAAAAAGTGTCCCCTAATAAGTACCCAAAGTGCCCCCCAACTTGATAAGTACCGCCCTCTGCTTCGAATGGTCAGCCCCGATCCTGGGTTTTACGTGTCCTTCCTGCGACATGGGCTCCAAAGTGAACTGGTTTGATTTCTGTGACAAGATATATTATCATTATCATTTTAGCAAAGTGAGAACACAAACAGCACCCTTCGTGCCTTGCAAATGTTGTTGCGTGTCGACGACTACCGGCTCGCCTTCGTGCAGCGGGGAGGCCTTGAAGCTATTATGTCTTCATTCAACGGGAAGATCAATTTTCAAGTAACTTTTGTTTGGTTTTCCGGATATTTTGTTTAGCTCCAATACCAGCTCGTGTGTGCCATATGGTGTCTGACCTTCAACGCCGAAATCGCTCGCAAGGCCCGATCCCTTGGCGTCATCCAGACACTCGCCGGCATTTTGAATGAAGCGACAAAAGAAAAGGTATAATTTATTGGTAGCTAAAATCATATATGCCATTTAGGTGATCCGAGTTATCGTGGCGACTTTTCGTAACATCCTGGAGAAGGCCGGCGAGAACGGGCAGTGCCAGGCCGTCCGAGAGGTGGCTCTACAAATGGTGCAATGCAAGGCCCTCAAAACGATGGAGCTTCTCGCGGCCAGAAAGTTCGAGGATCCCGATCTACGGGATGATGTGGATTATTTGAACGCCTCGCTGCACCACTCCGTCCAAGATTTGAGCTCTTTTGATGAATATTTTCGCGAGGTAATTGGTCGACCTCAGCTAATCGGCTTTTTAGGTAAAATCCGGGCAACTTTACTGGTCTCCTGTGCACAAATCGGAAAAGTTCTGGCGCGAGAATGCGGAGAGATTTCACGATAAGCGATGGGATATCGTGAAGTATGCCCTATTTTCTCAAACGCCATTAATGGGCTTTAGGGCGCTGGTACAACTGCTGGAAACAGCTTCTGATCCGCTTGTGCTTTGCGTGGCGGCTCATGACCTCGGTGAATATGTGCGGCATTACCCTCGCGGAAAGAAGTAACACAATTTCTAGCTTTTTGCAACGGTCTCTTTAGTTTTGTCGAGCAAAATCATGGCAAAACTGCGGTGATGAAGCTTTTATCGGCCGAAGATCCCAACGTCCGCTACCATGCGCTGATCGCCGTCCAACAATTGATGGTTCATAACTGGGACTATTTGGACCAGCAGCTACGTCCAGAAACACTGATAACAACGCGATAATTTTGCCTTTGCGAAACTGTGAATTTTCTTCATTACCATTTTTTTTGAATCGGCCTAGTAACATTTCGTCTACGGATAAATAGATTGAGTGCCATCGTAGACGCTTATCTTGCTCTACTAATTAGCAACACGTTTATTCGTGGAAGCTTATTTCACGAGACTTTCGAAGCGCAATGTGATGTCCGTGCAAGCAGCCAGCAGCAAATTTATTCTTCCAAAAAAGCGAAATCGGGCATGGCATTCATTTTTACTGGGATTGGTCCTGGTCGTGGTTTTGCGTCTGATCCTCCACGGTGCCCTTCTCTCTGAAGTATAGGCGTGTTATGGGGCTCAGACAGTTCACGACTTACTTCTTGGGCCGAGATCCAGATCCGGGCTTCATCGATTGCTGCGTATTCATGGTCGTACCGGTCATCAAGTGCGTCTTCTGTGTGCCCATCGACGGCTGCTTCTGTGTCTTCTGCGTCAATTTGTTGGTCGCTAGAAATGAGAGTCAGAAAAGCAAGGATGACGGACCATCACCATTGGTGGACGGGTCCTTCTTAGCCGTGGCTGCAACAAATAATGTTTTGTGCTTTCAAACGCGCCCTACACTCCTTGGGATTCGATGCGTTATTGCTGCCCGATTTCTTCCCAGTCTTGCCGGATGTTTTCTTCTTGTCCGTCCCAACATTGGCTAGAGGAACGTTTTAGCGCTGGTTATTTCTAAGAATAACCGCATACCTGAAGCAGCGTCGACGGCCTTAGCTGGTGGTGGCTCCGTAGCCGGCTCGGCGGTCGCTGGCTGTACGCTGATCTTGGCGGTAGTGGCTTCACGCGGGGGCGTAGTTGCATGCGGGGTATCCTCTTTCTAAATGCCATTCGTTTGAAAACGCTGCGAGTTTACGGTTTGCCCGATCCATCCGTCTCGCTTCTTTTCCTTCTCGATCCTAAAACAATTAGAGGCCAAGTTCGCAGCCCCTCACTTCTCCATCTTTTTGCGGGCCTTCTGGAAACGCTCGCGCGCCTGGCGCTTATATTGGTCCTCAAGGTACCACACTTCGACGACAGCGTCCTGCTCCATCTCATTCTTTTCGACCTGTCGGCGCGCCCGGATCTCCCTTTGGCGAGCCATTTTCTGTAATTTTTCAGTTGAAGCATCTTTTGCTTCACCCAAACCTGATTGACAATCACATATCCAACATTGATGACGATACCGAGGCCGAGAGAGATGATTAGCCAGTAGAGACTGAAAACTTGCTTGTAGGCGAATGCCATTTACCTGTCAACGGAGCCCTCGACCTGGTGACCAGCGCGAACGGTGACAAATTTTGTCATCGGTTCACCGGGCTAGCGCGGACGGGCTTCTGATGAGACTTTTTGATCGAATGGCGACTGGTTGAAGCGCGCTTGAAATGTAATACCGAGCTTCTTAATGACTATTATGCAAATTAGCAATTGAACTCCATGGGTATGTGGGCTATTTTTAGCTTTTACTGCCTTTCGAAGCTTGTTTTGCCATTCCGGCTTGTTTAGCTACTCTGTCCTTACTTTTTATAATGGTCATTTTTTCAGAATGGAGGAGGAAGAGGATGGGCTAAAAATCGTCGGCTACAGTTCTTCAATTTTCCGTCCAGATGACGCAGCACGAAAGATCGCCGACGAGAAGCACCTTCGAAATTGGCTGGATACAGACATCACGATAGATCGGTGCGTTTTTAAGAAGATCTTAGGTGTCAAATCGCGCTCACAATGGTTTCCTTCATACCAAATCTCTACTTTTCAGCTATGATGTACGGTTATTCTTCAATTCTATTACTGATGTGCGGGTCGATATTGATTCAAGTTTTGAAAAGTGTTCTTCGGAAGCTCTGGAGGAGGAAATGTGTGATGTTGACCGATATATGGACTTGAGCTGCAAGCCAGGTAAATCCTCTTTTTGTTGTTTTTTTACTCTTTAGAAAAAGCCATTTTTGACGAGGAGGCGCCGAAGCCAAAGAAGGCCGAAATCGGATTTTCGTATGACGAACCGTTGGAGGGTGCTTTTGACAAAATTGATGACCCGGACAGCGATAGCGAAGCTGAAGCTTTTGATCCTCCGACAGGGATCAAGCTTCCAATGGGACTTGTTTGCGTATGTTTTTGATTGCTCGCAGTGATATCGTTATTTCTAGCCACCCAACCAGAAGCAAAACCACATAATCCTGCGAACGGCCGGGTTTGTCGTGGAGAAAGGTGCACAGATGGAGATCGTCATCAAGGCGAAGCAGCGGGGCAACGATGAACACGTCGGTTTTTCTTTTGAATCCTGTATGCACAATTTTAGTTTGGCTTTCTCCAATTCGACAATCAGCTGCATCCCTACTATAAGTATATGATGAAGATGATACGAGATAAGAAGTACAAAGTGCCCGATTTCGATCGTGAGAAGAGGATGAGGAGAAAGTTTGGGGAAAATCCGACGACGGTCCATACGGCTTCCGAATCCGCGAAGGCTTCGAGCTCTACCCATGCGTTGGGTTTGGAATATGGTACAAACATTAGACGCTCATTGCCAATTTAGCATTTCAGATGATGATTCGGATTCTGACTATGAATTGCACCCTCTTCTTTCTATGAACTCGGCCCCAGCAGCCCCCGTACAACAACCACCGCCAGACAGCGCACAAAAGTAATTTGATAGAGTTTTCTCCAAGATTTACTTTTCGCAGAAGCCGCAACGATTTGCTGAAGAATCTGAAGAGCACTGATACTCATGTGAGCGGACTTTCCCGTCGATAATACTTTTTTTCAGTACACCTCCCTCTTCCGGAACCTCGTTGAATTGAAAGTGAAAAGCGCAACGGAAGAGGATGATAAGGGCCAGCCGATCCCGAATGCTGGGCCGGATTTGGAGTTTCAAAAATGGTTTTTTTGCTGACCCTTGGCAATTGATCGAAACTCATTTAGGTGGAGCTTCTTCTACGAAGCACCCTGCCCGATATCAAAGCCAGCTCCGATCAAGGAACCGCCGGCCGATCAACTGGAGGTGATCGAGCATTGTGCCGAGTATTCGGCCAAATATGGAGCCGAAGGAGAAAGGATGCTCAGAGGTTGTTGCTCTCAACCATCGTTTGCTGATACGATATTTGGTTTTAGAACAACACGTGCTCGACGGGGCACAAGGCAAATACACGTTTAACCTTAATTTCCTCAACTTGCACTCGCCCTATCATTCATTTTATCAGCAGCAGGTAGCTTTTTAGTTTTATTATCGTTAACATGTTCCCATTTAGGTGAAAGCCAATCAATTGGCGCTTGGGTATTATCCTCCCGCACCATTAATGACCGTGGAACTTCCGCCCGGTTTTGTTCATGAGGTAGGGGTACTTTTCACGGGCCGATTTATTTTTTCAGGATCAATCGCTGGCCGGTGCTATCCAAGCGGATGCGCCCTCCCCTCCTCTAAATCGAAAACAACGAAGGCGGCTCCAGGTGTGTCTAGGCATGAATGTAAACCACCATTTCAGGATGCGCCTAAAACTGACATGGTTGCTCCCGTTTCCCTCATTGATCCGTGTACCTCGCAGGTATTTTCCTTATTAGATTGATCGATATATTGGTATTTTAGTCGATCCACCCGGTCCAATCGTCGGTCTGCTTTCAGATTCCTGCCTCCACTACTGAATTGTAGGCGCTTCTATCATTTAGAATTTGCAAGTTTAGAACAGCACATCCATCTGCCGTGGCCGCACTCGATGATGAGGCGCCTGGATCGTTTAACGTAAAACACATTTAGCTTGAACGTGGTGCTTCTGCGCTTATAGACTGCGGTCCCGACACCACCCGCACCTCCGCGTATTCAAACGGATCTTCAACTGGAAAGAAAAGAAAAGGTAGGATTAGATATGTTAGCCGACCTTTTCAATCTAGGCACGCCAGTTCATGGAGCGGATACTTCGAGATAAACAACAACTAGCTCAACAGGCCGCACTAGAAAAAGAAAGCGAGGTTTCGAAAGTCGAAGTCGGGAAATCTGTGTTACCTTCGGCTTTTAAAGAAGAGGTCTGTCGGGGAACTATTCGGATTTGTTGTTATAAGGTTCCATAACCGTTCGTAATATTTTTTTTCAGCGCGACCGGAAAGATCGCAGAAAACGCTCCAAGGACAGGAGTAAGAGTCGTGATCGCCGCAAGAGAGATCGAAGCCGGGATCGAACTATGGCGCGCAGTAGAGAACGAAGTCGCGAACGAAGGGAACGACGGTAAGATTAGTAGCTCCCGTTCTGTACTATTTCCAGCGGGGGATACAAACTTCCTTTCTAATGTGAATAAAGGCCGTGTTTTGGAATAAAAATTAATTTTTACAGGCGCAGATCCAGTTCACGATCGAAAGCAAAAAGACGTCGATCTCGGAGCCGATCAAGCTCGGGATCAGGCACAGAAAAGTGAGCTATTGGCTTCTCACTAAAACCTTTTTAGACCATCGAAATATGAGCGAAGCCACAAGGCTTCAAAGCGGCGGCGGCTGGAATAAGTAAATCCTTTAAAAAGATGTAATATTGTTGATAAATGTTTGTTACGATGTACAACTCTGGGTTGAAAAACTCGCTTGCTGAGCGCCTTGTATCGTTGCGTTTTGGGTGTCAATGATATTTTGGGCTTTCGCGAGACCTGACGTACTTGACATTGACGCATGCATCGCCTGCGTCGTAGTTACGTACCAGTTCTTTTCCATATTTCTATTCTAACCTATCTTTAGTTTATTTCAATCTTGCAAGCGTTTTACTTTTTTGAAACGACGGTGCTCGCGCCAAGTAGTACGATCGGCAATGTCCATTTACACTGTGTCACTTCGGTTTTGCCGGCTTCTCTTGATTTATTTATTGAAAGACGCGCGCTTCTCAAATAATTGTTTTTCTGCACTTTAACAGCAATTAATAAGTAATTTATGGTATTGCAGATGACGACAGCACCAGAGGTCCCGCCTGTAGAGCCAACAAGACACGTTGTACCCAAAAGAAGAAGAGATCGCAGGGCGACATTGGCAAGGCGTTGGGAGCGCCAGGGCAGAAAGGCAAAGGTATATTATGACTCTGATTTTATTTGTTTTGTAGTAAGTTACAGTTTTAATATGCATTTTTTTAGTTGGACATGTGGTGAAGGTCAGCAGCGTCCCATACGGCTTTTTCGAAGATCAGATCAGAGATTACTTCAAGCAGTTTGGCAATGTTATCCGCGTCCGCGTCGCACGAAGCAAAAAGGTACATTAGATATTACAGCAATAATGGATTTAGACAACCAACCACAAAGGATGGGCTTTCGTCTCGTTTGACAATGCCACCGTTGCACAGATTGCCGCAGAGGCCACCGATGGATATCTGATGTTCGAATGCCGCATGAAGGCCAAGGTTCTTTTTGATTTTTGAGGAAAATGGTTATTTTGTTTAGGTCTTGACCCCAGAGATGGTGCCCGACGTGATGAAGCGTGGCCCGTGCGTCATCAAGCCGCGAGAACGCTATGCCGGCCGGGTGAAAGAGGCAGCCATCGCTGCGAAGCACAGATCTCCGAAGCAAGCTGCTGCTCTTATTGTAGGACCCATGGTTTTAGTTTTTACTTTTCTTTAGAAAAAGAGAAAGAAGATGCGCAACCAGCGCGAGCGAAAGCTTTTGGCCTCCGGCGTCGACTACCATTTCGCCCCAGTCACCCCCGGACAAGCGGTATTTTTTCGGTTTACGTGGAAATATTTTTGCTTAGGCAAAAGCCAGTGAGAAGGACTGGGAGGTTATCACGATTCAGTCAGCTGAACGGACACCGGCGAAAACGGTAAGCAAATGTTGTGGGTAGTTATGCAATGTTTAGACCCCGAAATCTCCAGCTGCTGGAGCCGAAGTTGGGCCTCCTAGTGCCAAGAAGGCGAAGACGCAGTCCGCTTCGGACACCAACACACCAATTTCGAAAGATGTAAATGATTGCGATTCTTGCGAGATAGACGCTTTTAGACCCCGAAAACTAGCAAGTTGGCAACTCACCAGGCGGCCGCTTCTGCCAAGAGCAACATTGCAACTACTCCGATTAGTAAAAAGGTGGGTCATTATAGACTTTTCATTGAAGTTTGGTGATCTATACGACGCAGCTTTTCTTAATTTCAAAGCACTTATCCATTTTTAGAGCCCCAAGACCCCGTCCATCGTTGCCCAACCTGTCGCTGAAGAGGAGCCCCGCCCTCCCAGCGCCAAGAAGTCAAAGAAATCGCCCAAGCAGGTCACCGTCGTGACACCGGTATCACTCGGAATTTCGGCTTTTCACTGCCTTTCAGGAACCCTCGGCCGTGGCGAAGCCGAAGACTCCGAAGAGCAACACGCCAATCGGACGGCGCGTCGGCGCTCGGATGACGCCCGCACGAGCCGCTCGTCAGCAACAAGTGGTGGGTTCAATTTGCTACTATTGAAGGGAAAATTCTAATTTACCGTATGTTCATAAAATGTCATTTTGAACTTCGGACGGGAGCGTTTTTCAATCGTTTACGATGCCAGAAGACTAACTAACTCGCCGAGATAATCGATTCTAGCTGCAAAAAAGAATGGCATTTTATGAACATAATCGCAGTTGGCGCTATGAATCGAACTTTTTTTTTCCAGGAACCTGCCGCCAAGACGCCGAAGCTGGCGAAGGCTCCCAAGCAAGCCAAGACCCCGAAACAACCGTCCACTTCGACGCCTGCCAGGACTCCAGCTCGCGGAAAGAAGTAAAAACAAAATGGTACCGATTTCTTATGTCACTTGTTATAGTTGTTGTTGTTATACGTGTTTCGTTTCGATTACTCTTTGTTACCGCATCGTTTTGTTTTGACGGATAAATTGTTGAGTTTTCAGCAAAGGGGTGAAGGATAATACACGGTTATATAGGGTTTTTTTTTGGATATAACATAACGGGCGCCGTTTCAGATTTCAAGCGCCATCCATTGGCGGAAGTACAGATGTTCATTGTACCCTCCAGCTACATTTGGAGTTGAAGCACTAATAGAAACCGGGGCATCAATCTACCTGATTAGTCGTTGACCATCAACACAAAATTTCGGTTTGTTAGTCTTTCCGCCCTGTCAGCAGCCTAAATGGCATTCAATTTCCTGCGGAGGGTTGGCAACGTGGTTTCAGGTTGCTTTTTTCGCAAATGATTAAAAGTTGTTGTTTAGGCCTACTGACAGCGAATAGAAATCCGGAATCTCCGCCCAGAATTCAGGTTCATACAAATGAATCCAACGAAGATACCGATGCTTCGAGACCTCAATTGGATGACACGGAGCCGTTAGAATATCCAAGAGATCTGCGGGAAGCGCTTGATATGTCAATGATTGTGAGTTATTCGAGAGTTGACACGGTGTTTAGATGATAAGGTATAATCAACCCAATGTTTTACAGGAACGATACCCCGCCAATCTAAACGACCAGTGGATCTGTGGTCTGACGGAGGCTGACGAAGTGCAGGCGCAGGTAGGATAGCCAAGTACAGAGAATTCCTAAGAAATTTAGAGTTACATCGAACCGGAAGACAACCTACACTATGAGCGTGTTGTGAAAGAGGGAGATCGACTGACCGCCGAGTGTACCGTTGCAAAGACGCGGCCTGGACTTAGGCAATGCCAGGTAGGTTCGAATATCCTTTCTTTCGCCCTGAAATCGAATATTAATCGATTGATACTAGCTCTGCTCGGAGCTAATTGACACGATGAGCGCGCACAAGATGCTCGTCCACATGGGCAAGCACGATCGTGATGCGCTGCGATGGCAGTGTGGATATGTGGTGAAGCCGAAGACGACGGCGATGATAAGCCAAGGAAATCGCAACGATGTCAATCATGATACGACTATGGATTTTCTGAATGCGATGACGAGCCAGGGACTTATGGATTTGGAACAAACGGCGATAGACATTGACACCAGGGTTGAAGCTACACTGATCAATTTGGTTGAAGAAGAAACCTGCGATATAAGGTATTAACGACAGACTAATTTTGGAAAAGTTGGCTTTAGAAACATGAGTGAACACAAGATTTGTCAACATACAAAGACCGTCCATGGGAGTTCCTCAAAACCGGTGGATCGGAGGTGCGTTAGAAAACGACTGTAGTGCTTCTTTTTCCGTACCTTTAAAACCTTGGTTTCCAATGAGAGTTTATTGTTTCTATATCATTTTTAGAATCGGAAATCGGCAAGCCATCGAAGCGTTATGGATGAGTTTGACAAAACGGTGTTTCCCCAGTCGCATGGCCGTAATGAAGGATTATATCGGCGGGTTGAACAGGCCAAAGGTTTGTGTCGTTTTGAATTCAGAAGTAGTTATGAATTTAAAGTATCTAACAACCTGAGAAATACCTAAATGCCTACTTCGTATTTCTTACCCTTATTCTCATCGATCTATCTCTTATTTCGTCGTTTTCAGGCGACAAGAAAGCTGAAAGTTCAGCCGAAGGGCCGGCAGATCGTCAGATGCATCGTGGGTTTTTTTCAATAGCAACAATCATACGTTTGTGCACATTTGTACTCGAAACATTTCAGTTGTGTAGCCACCCAGTACCCTCACAACGGGTTGCCCTTTTTGAACACACGATGCGCCATATGAACCGCAAGGTAGGGAGGTTTTTACTGGGGCGGAAAGTCGACTTTCCATGACTTTTATACAAGTAATTTCAGGCCTACAGCTGCTCAGAGTGTCCAGCCGAATTTTCGAGTCGTCAACTCGGAATCGGGCACCTAAAGAACTACCATGATGCGCGCGGAACTCTCAAGGAAACCATGTAAATCTTAGTTTTTAAAAGTGATAAATTTTCAGCCGTCTTTTTACATTGTTTTGTAAATGTACCTTAATTTTAGGGACAACGAACTAATGGCGCAATGGCGAAAAATCGGGCGTGAATGCTTCCCGGGAGAATATCATAAAATCGACCGGGCCGTGGATCGTGCCCATCACACGCTTCGGCTGCATGACATTGGAGTTGCGGTGGGTCAATAAGAAAGAGATTATAACTGCTTTGCGCGTGTAGATTTTTATCCACTAACGGCACTTTAATTTCTAAACCAAAATGTAAAAATTTAAGTTAAAAACGCGATTTTCAGGGTGGTTTGGGCTGGTAGCAGACGGCGGCAAAACCTCTACTTAACGAAAGATTCCACATCTAATTCCTTATCCTCGTTTTATTCCAATGAAATATTTTCTATATACCCTTGAAAAACGTAAAAAGTGGTGTCCCATGTTGTCTCGCGGCGCTTTTTGCCGCCCAGACGGAAAATTGATACGCAGGAATAAACGATGAGATTACCGGCTATACTTCCTCGACATCCCCCTGCTGATCATACATCTGAAAACCGCTAAAAGTATAGCATTTAATTTCATGAATCGTTCGGGCCCGCTCCGTGTCGTCGTCCCGACGCAAATTCTGAATTCGGGGTCGCCGTACATGTTCCGTTCTGGCCTATCGCCGCATTCGGGGCTGGAGGTGGAGCAGTGTGAAATGGTGCTGCGATATGCTCGAATACCCTACGAATTGCACTTTTCGGACGATCCGCTTGGCGATATTTCGCCTGATGGGATTGCAACTGGTCAGTTTATAGAAGAACCGTTTCTGGGTTTTGACGGCTTTCGAAAAAAAAAATCACGATATTTTGCCACGTTGATGTACCTGGGTCCAAAATGATACCCATAAGTCCAAAAATCTCTAGTAACGCAATTGAAAATGATTTAATAGCATTTTTCGTTAAATTTCACTATAAACTAGCTAGGAAACACTAGCTAAAAACTCAAAAAATTTGTTGAACATTCCAAATTCGGTCAAAATCGTCCATTTTTCTATTTTTTATGAAAATCTGTAAATTTTACAACTTTCGAATAGTAAAAAAAGAGCATAGAAACAATTCTTCGATTTATAATAGAAAAGTTCAATTCCAAAGAAAAATGGCAGTTTTCCCGATGACCTTCCCCGATAATGCGAAAGTACCAATGCTTATGTAATTAGCGAATGCGCAAAATGTCCGTATTAAACTATAGCAAACATTAATTCATTTTGCTCTAGGTATCCTGGGCCAAGTGCAAAACGACGAATACGATCTGGTGTGCGCCCGGGCGGTGATGAGTCCGCGGCGCCGCGATGATTTCAAATTCTCTTTTCCGAGCCAATACGAGGTTACGCAGGTAATAAAGAAACATGATATCCATCAAAAATCGTTAAAATTAACTTTTTTTAATATTCAGGAGAATTTCTGGATTTAGGTATTTATGATTCGCGACGATTCCCTGCCCGTCTTTCTTGACAGTTTTTTATTCCGCCCATTTTCCACGAACGTAAGTGATTTTTAGTTGGCAATAGAATTCATCAAATTTAGGTCTGGGTGGCGCTACTGATTATGCTATTTATCCTGGTGCTCTTGTATACGCTGTTCAGATTTTTCGAGTTTCGCGGGACCGAAACGCGCACGAAGTACGCTTTTTTGGGCATTAATATGATCAAAAGATTAAATTTTGGTGCTTCTGCGTTATAGGTGCGGACTCTCCAGGTAGAAAAACTAAAGCATTTTGAAAAGTCGGTTTTTAACAAAAATTTGTGAATTCAGAGAAATGGTTTTTATATATTCCCATTTATATCACGAAATGAATTAAAAAAAGGTCGTTGACCCTGCCCCCGATACTTCAAAAGTACCTAAATCTTTCGGCCCTGAAAGATAAGTTTTTTCAGGCATCTAACCAATGGTTTTTACATGCTTTTGGAGACGTTTACGGAGACTCGATTCGGCGCTGAAAATACGGGCTACCATTCGCGGTATCATACTGTTAGGGTATGGCTTTAATCCCGGAAAAACCGCTATTCAAGTTCAGATTTTCACGGTCTTGTGGATCATGCTGTTCATGCGGGTTTTTGTCGACTATTATGGCTCGAATTTGCGGAAAATCCTGATCTTTTCCGACAATATCGAGTTGCCGTTTCAGGATTTTCGAGGGTTTTTGCTGGCTTTGCAGTGAGTTTTTAGTGATGTCTTGAGTTAAAGATCGATCATAAAGATAATCGGTGTTTTTAGTGTTTATTTAGTGTTTTAGTGTTTAGAGTTCAAAGTAGCAATATTTTTAATCAAATTTAACTATATTTAGGTAGAAAACTAACAAAAAAGTGTAAAACTGTCTAAAAAAACGAAATTTTGGTCAGAAATCCGCCGTTTTGTTGGAAAAACCGGAAAATGTGTGCTTTTTTAACGAAATTTTTTGGGCTTGATATTACGAAAAAGAGTTTAGAAATATTCACTATATTTGTTGTAAAAAAAAGCAGATTCTGAGGAACCCCCGTCGGGCAATCCTATCGTTTTTTTTTAGAATGGGCGAATACCGCCTTCTCACCAGCAGTACCACACAAATCCCGGTGTGTCCGTACGAGTACTATGACCGTTGTGACCGGATTTTCGAGGAGATATTTGCCAAATACCCGCCGATAATTGGCTCGTATCAAAAACTCGCTCAAGACGAGTTTGTGCGAAAGGTTAATCAATTGTTTCTCTCTCTCTCTCTCTCTCTCTCTCTTTCCCTTTCTCTCTCTCTCACCCTTCAAAATACCGTTTAGCATCCCTATCCGTTGGTGGCCTTTGCCTGGCTGCCCGGACATCGTATCACATCGGAATACAGTACCCTTACGGATAGACAATTCCATTCGCATGTTTGGGTGATAAGGAATGTTAATGTCAGTTTAATGAGGATAAAAAGGCAAAAATGGCATTGAAGATATTCCCAGCCAGTTTGATTTTCAATAAAAGGGTCGACAGAAAACTGATGGAACGGATCGATAATGCGGTCATTACGTTGCTTGGGGCTTTAGAGGTAAGATATCACTCATTTTTTCACGCTCTCTCCCTCTCTCGCCCCTCTCTCGCTCTCTCACGCTCCGTCTCCACCAAACTTCATTTCATCACTTTAGACAGTCGACCTACACTACGACCCAATATACCCACCCGTTTCCATCCAACAACTCCCTACAAAGACTGCCTTTACATTACGACAGGTATTTCCGCCATAGACCTGTAGCGTGCGTAGCGTACGTAGCGAAGCGTAGTTTATTTGTGATCACGTATTTGGAGATCTTGACAATACCCTTAAGCAATTTTTTTTCAGCTCTCAGTAATCTTCTACGTCCTCCTGGGGGCTCTCGGAATCTCGCTCATCGCCCTCGTCGTCGAGATCAACTTCTCGTATCTGAAGCTGCAGCTGGGGAGGCCGTATAATACTGTCGCCGACCTGGTGCTCAGATTTTTGCGCTTCACCACTAAGCGCAATATCTATTGGTTGGATGATGGGAATTGGGAGTTGGGGAACGCCGACTCGGCCAAGTACAGCGAAAAAATGGAGTTTGACGGTGGTGGAAATTGTGAATAAAATGTTGGTTGAAGACGTTCTCTGAATCGCAAATTTATAAGACCATACCTTGCTCGTTCTCTCTCTCTCTCTCTCTCTCTCTCTCTCTATCTCTCACACACACTGTCCCTCTTTCTCTCTCTAAATCGCTCGCACGTGTACCTTTGAAATTTAAGAAAACCGCAAAAACTCCTGATTTTTACTAGTTTGATCTGTTTGATCCTGGTTCTCTCTCTCTCCCTGCCTCCCTCCCTCCCTCCCTCGACACAAAACAGAGGTGTCAAATAGCGACATGTCGAGAGCTCCGGGGAAAAAAATTCGTAGGGCCCACACCGTTCATCCAGTTCTCCCGGAGGCCCAGGCACCCGATTGAAACATGGCCAAATATTCAATCTGCGGCTCTGTGCCCTCTACATTTTCCCGTTCTCTCCCAACCGCATGTGGCCACCGTATGTTTGTCGAGGGGGGATGGTGGCTGAATGGTCGTACGGGTGGACACTATGGACGGACGAAGGGAAGGGAGAGAAAGGGTGGACCAGATCTCTTCTTCGACCACGACAAGGCTTCGCCGCCCAATTTTCCGCACCCATCCATCCGGACCGGCCATTCAGCAACTCGAGCCGGTCGCTTTTATAATAATGGCTTGTTGGGACTTTTGGTACGGCCTTTTTCTTAGAGTTAGGCTTAGGATTAGGTGTACCTAAGGCTTGGCTTAGGAGCAGCTTAGGCTTAGGTTGGGCTTAGGCTTACCTTAGGCCTGGCATACTCTTGGCTTATGTTTCGCTTTGGATTAGCTTTGGCTAGGCTTAGGCCGAGGCTTACCCTGGTAGGTCCAGGCTTAAGCTAAGGCTTAGACTCAGACTTGGACTTAGGCTTAGGCTTAGGCTTGGGCTTGGGCTTAGGCTTAGACTTGGGCTTAGCCTGGATCTCTTAGGCTCAGCCTAGGCTTAGGAATATCGGTTTCTAATTTTTGCACTTTCAGGTTTTTTGGCGCTTGACCGAACCATGAATCCTTAACTCACTGCGCCTAGTTCCGCAAGATTCCTCGACTGTGTACAAAGGTGTTCTGCGGAACCGGAGGGATCCGGGGAAGGGGGGAAAGTGGCAAGAAAAGGGGCGAGGAGGTCGAATTGAAAGGCGGATGGATATATGGGTCAGATGGAAACCCCTCGCCGATTTTGCTCTCGCTTTCTCTCTCGCTTTCAAAGTCGAGAAGCGAGGAATAAGACACCGACTACAAGACACACCTCTCAACGCCTTGTCCCGTTTCTTCCAGGAAACGCATTTCTTTGCATAGATTCCAGGAAATTTGTTTGCTTGGTTAGGCTTGAGTTATGCTTAGGCTTGGCTAGGCTTGGCTTAGACTTAGCTTAGGCATTGACTCGGCTTAGGGATAGGCTTAAAGAGATGAGGACGGCATCTGTTGAACCCCCCTTGAGGAGGGGGGTTCAACAGGTCCCGCGGCGAGAGAGGGCGCCCAGGGGAGAGGCGCAGAGACATTTTCTTTCCATCGCGTATTCGATTGGCTTATGCCGCCCGTATCTCTTTAAATTCAGGCTTCGGCTTAGGTCTTGATTTAAGCCAGTCAGACTCATCCGTTTTATCTGCGATTTATTAAATATGATAATCCAATAAATTTACAAATATTCGAAATATTTCGTTTATAGATTATATTTCTTTCTTTATTTTTTTTCGGTTCCATTACAATACTCTTCACCTACACCCTTTTTCAGAACGAAAATGCGAGCGGCCGGGCGGCTGTTGCCGCTATGGGTCGAGTGGTGGCTGGCCATTTCCTCGGTATTTTCAAGAATTTCTTTGCTTTAAAAATTAGTTTTACAAAACCCAAAAATTCCGTTCAGATCCTGTGCACGATCGACATCATCTACACGACATTCCGCCCGTACACGAATCGCGGCGGCTATTTGGAGAAGCTGTTCGAGCCCTGTAGGCTAATTTTTCGACAGTTTGTGTGGGTCTGTCTGTCTGTGGCGCATTGTTTGCTCCGTTCGGCCTGTTGTTTGGTCTGGGGATGAGGGATTGTTGCAAATTTAGAACGGGAGGAGAAATAATGGACTTTATTAGCGATTAGGAGGTTGGAAAGTAATTTTCTGCCCTAGATTCAGAAAATCGGGGTTTTTGTGGACGACTTAGCTTAGCTTAGCTTAGGGTTACTTGGCTTAGACTTGGCTTAGGCTCAGTGTATACATATTTAAGGCTTATTTAGCTTAGGCTTAGGCTTAAGTTTAGGCTTAGGTTAGGCTTAGGCTTAGGCTTAGGCTTAGGCTTAGGTTAGGCTTAGGCTTAGGCTTAGGCTTAGGCTTAGGCTTAGGCTTAGGCTTAGGCTTAGGCTTAGGCTTAGGCTTAGGCTTAGGCTTAGGCTTAGGCTTAGGCTTAGGCTTAGGGCTTAGGCTTAGGCTTAGGCTTAGGCTAGGCTGGGCTTAGGCTTAGGCTTAGGCTTAGGCTTAGGCTTAGGCTTAGGCTTAGGCTTAAGCTTAGGCTTAGGCTTAGGCTTAGGCTTAGGCTTAGGCTTAGGCTTAGGCTTAGGCTTAGGCTTAGGCTTAGGCCGTGCTTAGGCTTATCTTATGCTTACCTTGGCCGTAGCTTGGGATTGGCTTAGGCTTGGCTTTCATCAGAATTAGTTTAGGGTTAGCTTACGCTTATCTTGGGCTCAACGTAGGTTTAGCTCAACCTAAGCTTAGAATAGAAATACATGCATACCCGTCCCTTTAAAATGCTCTTTAAGGGAACATCTACGCGGACGTCGATCTTCGATACGCGGAATGGGACGACCTGGTGACGATGGCCACCGGAAGGGTGATGGCTATTGAGGTCGTCATGAATTTGGTGACGTTGATCCTTGTACGTTTCTTAAAATATTGAATTTGATGTAGGAAACCGAGCAAAAACGTGTTGCACGGAATGGCACATTTTTCAAAACATTTTTTAGGCTCGACGTGAGTCCCGCCATACGGTCCTGCTCGCCTTCACCACGTCGGCGTTCGTCTTCTGGAAGACGTTCTGGTATATGGTGCTGTACATTCGACAGCCGGAAGGTAGAAAAAAATTATTTTTCAAGTTGCTGTTTTTCCAAGCTGAAGCCGAATGGCTTACGTGAAAATGCATATGCTTTGTTTGAGTTGACCTTCTTTTAAAGGGACTTGCAAGGGTGGATCTTGGTTTTTTGCTCATGGATTTCCGATGAACCTCGCGGTGCCCAGGACACGCTACGCACACGTTCTCTTTCCATTACGTAATTGATTACAGCGCTTTTTTAATTCCGTTCCTGTATCCGTATCGTATCCGTTTTTGCGCGTTGCGTGTCGCGGCTCCGGACAGTTCATTTTTGTAACTTAACCGGCCCTTTAAAGGGACCATGAAGGGTCAAAATCGACGGCATTCCTTCACTAGGCCCACACCGCCACTCAGCAGCCAAAAAACCGGGTGATAAAATTGGGTAGCGTGCGTCTATAGGAGTGGCGCGTAGTTGTCTAGACTTCGTCGACACAAGGGGTTCGAATCTAGTTTTTCTTGGCCCCTTTAAAAAGATAATAAACGGAAATTCATTTAATTGGGGCTTGGGCATCACTTTAAAGTTCGCAGCCGGAAGCCGCCCCCAATTTTCTGAGCCTTATCAAAAAGCAAAAACTACAGACGGCCCAGCTGATCGCACGTGGTGTCCGTCTCCAGTCTCCAAAATCGCGATTTTCAGGCACACGCGAATACATCAGACCCGGAACTGGGTGGCTCGCTGAATTTATCGTCTTCTGGGTGGCCGATGGTTTCTGGTGGGTCACAGAATCATTTTTAGTTTTATTTAGATGTTTTTACTACAAATAAATAAAATAAAAATCAATATATTTTTTAAAATAGCGTTACTATTTTCTCTAGGTGTGCCGTCCCACTGGCCGTCATGGTAGCGCTGTGGAATCGGCTGGCGCGTCACGAGTACGAGTTCGTCTCCACCAAGGATCTCGCCTAGACCTAAGCCAAAGCAAAGCTGAGTATAAGCCGAAACATAAGCCCAAGCCAAGCTGAGCTTAAGCTACATTCAACGTCAACAGTGTGCAGATCCCATTTGTCTATTGCCTATTTTGTGCCCTTTTCCCATTCCTGTCGTCTCCTTTTCCGTCTTTACCCTCCCCTTATCACCCTGTATCTCCTCTCACCACCTCCGAGAATCGTCATATCAAGGCTTGCGCTCCCAGGCGCTGTGTGCTGTTTTTTTTGTATGTCTTGACTTCTGTATTTTAGGTAATAAATGCATCGGATACTGTACACTGTTCGACAAGTTTCTTGAGAAATCTCAGGGGTATCTAAAACACATCCCCTCCCCTCGCAGGAGGGTCCGATTTTTACGATCTCGGTACCTATCGAAAGCTCTAGAATAGGATGTTTTGCCGGTTTTTCATTCAATTTTTTGTTTGTTTAGTATTTTGCTCGATTTTCGGTACTTTTTATGCAAAGTCTGGCAGGGAAATCCGCGGTACTCGACTGTTAGCCGGGGGAGTGCATTTTTAAATTTTTATTGCCTATACATTCAGCGGTTAGAAATAACTAATGCATTTTTATAACTCTTTAATAGTCTTTAATTTTTAGGAATTCATAAAAATGTTTAATTTTTGTGGAAATTTCAAAAATATAACGATTTTTCAACAAAAAATCAAAATTTTTCGCTATCCTACTATATATAAAAAAATAGTGTTTGTGTGTGTGTGTGTGCCACTTTGCTTGCAACTTCCGTCAGCGTGTTCCAGCAGTATCTCAAGAAGGAGCGTAGCTAGGGGCATGTTTGATACATCATTAGGAGCGTAATGGTCTAGGGATGACTGCACGCATATCAGATTTACCAAAATCGCCTATTTTCGACATTAAAATTTAGTTTTTGTTGAAAAATCCGAGACCCTCTTTGTTAGGAATATATTAGCATACGCCGGAAGTGGGGATGGCCTATATAAAGGAGCAGAGAGCGCATTTTTCATTTTTTTCAGCATGGGTCGGGCCGAATTATGCAAAGTAAAAACTTTCATTGGTCGAAAACGGGGCCAGGGTTGAAAAGTCGCGAAGCGGCTTTTCAACCCTGGTTATGGATAATTTCTATGGACTGTTTAACACTTCAAACTATAAGTCTTCGAAAAACTGCTTAACATTCGATAAAAATGATTTATTTTTTATAGGGCTATAATGGATTAATGGGAGACAATAGCCCCCCCCCCGCTACCAGTCCAGTCCCAGAACTCGTTCCAAATCGACTATCTCATGCCTTGGCGTTAGCTACCATGCTATCGTTTAGAGTATGGTAGCGTACACACTCCACTACTTTGACTGCTATGGACGGGCGGAACCGACGCGGATGATGTTCGCCCTGGCCAACGTGCCCTACATCGATCGGCGATTCGCCTTCGAGGATTGGCCAAAGTTGAAGGGCTGTGGGTTTTTCGATTACGCTATCGAATTCCCAGTCCGGTGACTGCGACGCAACCGCTCGGTTTCAAAAACCACCTTTTCAGCCCATCCGTTCATCTTTGGGCAATCGCCGGTGCTTGAGGTTGATGGGAAGGTGCTGGCCGAGTCGAATACCATCAATCGATTTGTCGCTAATCGATATGGTGAGGACAAAAAAAATTAAAAGTATACTAACTAAAATATAGTGAGTAATCCTAAAAATACCCTAAATTTATAGGTTTTACCGGGAATTCGGAGTGGGAAAGGGCTCAAGTCGACTCGTTGGCTGATTTGCACCATGTAGGTTACAGGGTCGGAATCTCAACGGATTTTTTTTCTCTCTCCCTTTCTCACGCTCTCTCTCTCTCTCTCTCTCTCTTGCTCTCTCTCGCTCTCTCTCTCTCTTGCTCTCTGGGTCTCTCAAATTTACTATTGAGTATACGGACTTACGTTTCAGACGTACTTCAATCGCGTTCGACCCTTTTACGGAGTCGCGTGCAAGTATTGGGAGGGCGATCAGGTATGCGAGTCGATTACCTGATAGACACTACCTTTTTAGCAAGCCCTCCTGCATTCGAATTTCCTGCCCGAGCGCGATCATTTCTTCGGGATACTGACAAAGTTTATCGAGGATAATGAGACAAAATCTGGATTTTTGGTAGGATTTAATTAGAGAGAGAGCGAGTGTGTGAGAGAGAGAGAGAGAGAGAGAGTTAGAGAGAGAGTTAGAGAGAGAGTGAGAGAGAGAGAGAGAGAGAGAGAGAGAGAGAGCGCGCGCGGGAGAACCAGAAAGTGATACCGCTTCTACGCCTTAGGAGATTTTTAGGCATTTTTAGGAGATTTTTAGGTAGGAGACTCCGTGATGTACGCCGATTTGCTACTGCTGAGCCACGTCCTAATTTTCCGCAACTGGGTCCCCGAGCTGACGGATGGCTGGCCAAGGGTCCGACTTTCATTGGCTAAAACACGCTCATTTCCAGATAGCCGAGCACACCGACAAGCTGAAGTCGATGCCAAAGATGGCCGAATATTTGGCAAATCGCCCACATTCGATTCAATGACCGGCGGCAATTAGATGCTGTGGAAAAGATGATAAATCTTTGTACAGCTTGCCAAAATACAACTTCTTTAAAAAACATAATTAGATCGTCAGATGATTCCTAAGCACTATTCAAGTTGTGTTTCCTTAAATGACCATCGAAAGAATGTCGTTGGGCTTTCATAAAAGGAAAACGCGTCAAAATTGTAGAGCGGGATAGCACCGAAGACCTGAAGTTGAGATTTTTTTAAAATAGTGTAACTTTGGCATAAAAAATGTCGAAAATCGAGCGAAACATTCAGGCATTGCGAAAATTAAAAACCAGATTGCGAATCCTCAGCTCGTCGAGATCTTTCGGTAGATAGCTAAATCGTAAGAATCGGTCTCGACAGCGGCCCGTTGGAGGGCTTTTTTGGACACCCTGTACAAGCCATGCCTTGCTGGTCCCTTTAATAACTTCATCCAGATTCTCCATTTCCGCTAAACCCCCCTGGGCGTATAGCCGATTGAGATTGTAGTATTCTCGGCCTCAAGGTCACCCCTTCCAGCCAGCCGGTGATTGATTGTGTCCGTTTTTGGCAATGATGGGAGGCGGAATGGCGAGAAAATGGGAGGAGGACACACTTTCCATTTCCTCGAGAACTCGTGCAGGCAGACCCTCCTATACCTCTCGCCTAATGGATTAGGCTGGTAATCTACTTGTTCAATCAATATTTACCAGATAATCGTCGCATGATTATCGGCCTAAGATAAAAAAATCTATTAAGCTTTCGTAATATGTCCAAAATTTTGCTGAAAGGACTGCTAGATGGCCTTTCCTAAAGAATCTCTTCTAGCCTTTTTCGAAAACAATTTTGCCAAAGTTGCTCTTTCTCAAAATTCCTCGGCTAGCCTGCTATTCCCAAAGGCTCCCTGCCAGCTTCCCGCTTCCTAAAGGATCTCTGCTATCTTTCCCTTTTCCTCAAGGATCGCTGCTAGCTTGTCTTCTTTTAAAGAAACTTTGCTGGAGTGCCTACAGAATCTCTGCTTCCCGCCCTTTCCTAAGGGATCCCTACTAGAAAATCCTTCCTAAAGTATATTTGCTAACCTGCCTATCAACTCTCAAATGATCGCTTCTGTGCTGCGCTTTCCTAACGAAAAACGAACCACATGTCGTTTCCATAACAATCTCTTTCAGAGCGTTTTTATGCCTAAAAAGGTCCTAGAAAGATCCCAACGATACTCTAGCCGTACCCGAAAACCTTTGAAAAATGACTGGTCGCAAATCTTGTTCCAAGTGAGCCTATTACTCTATTCCCCCAAAATCCCGTTTTCCTCGACGCGTCGTTTCCTAAAAAGAGGGAAAATGTTGTTGTGGTCGTTGGGAGCAGAAATTAGCGATACGTGGAGCGGGGGGGGGGCAGGAGGTTTTATGTTTTCCAGGTGTACAGTATCTTTTAGTGTCGTTAGTAGCTAGACGTACTTAAAAAGAGGTGCCAGTGCCGCGGCGTTGATAGCTAATGAAATGCTTACCGTTGCTTTACCTTTATATCTCAATATGTACTTAACCGATACAGATTATTATGAAACCGATTTCCTTTCAGGAGATGATCATTTGCCGTCTTTCAATGACTCTTTGTCTCGTAAGTGCCCTCGCAGAAGCCATAGATGTCGTCGGAATGGGCTGCGATCGCGATCCGTCTCTGCCGTTTTGCGCGTCAGTCCCACAAGTTTCACTTTTTAAAGAGTTATTCGATCGTCAATACCGCATGGATTTTATCTTGCATGGATATTTTTATTTTATTATATTACCCGCAACACGCAACGCGCGCGCACGAACAATTATTGGCAGTTGAAAGATGAAGGGGCGGTATGTGTCGCGTTACGTGTCGCCGCATGCCGGAATCTATAGCGAATCGATGGCAATGCCTTGCATATCTTCTTAGAAACAATTGCCATTTTGCCATTTCAGAAAAGTAGAATCGGACTCGGATACGGCACCTGCGAGGGTGGAAAGAAGAGAACGGGCCGCGGATCCGGATGCGGAACGGGATAAGGTATGCAAAAATCACTCGATAGCCCACAGTGACTTCTAAGCCAAGGCCAGCTCTAAGCCAAGCTTAGGCTAAGTCCAAGCCAAGCCTATGCGAAGCCTAAGCCAATCCTAAGCTTAAGCCTAAGCCGAAGCCTATGCTAAGCCTAAGCCTAAGCACATGCCTAAAGCTAAGCCGGAGCCTAAGCCTAAGCAAAGCTAAGCCTAAGCTAGGCCTAAGCTGACCTAAGCATTCCAGACCTCCATTATTTACAGGTAGCCTGCCGTGAACTGAGACAAGAATACAACGAAAAATGCAGCGGCGACAGGCGAGAACAGGAATTCTGCCAAGCTTTCGAGAACATATGCTCAAAAATCAATGAGGGCTCGACCTTGATGAGGTTTGAAAAAACAGCCATCCATCTACGGAATCTAGCAATTCTCGAGTGCAAGCCGAACTTGCCCCAATTGACGGCGGTGACGGTGATGACCGCATTTTCAAGCATAAGGAGAGGGGCAGGTGGGTTCTGCGGTTCATGCGGTGCAAGGTTAAATTTTAGGGAAGACTCCGATACCTCAAGCGCTCCCTTGGCTTCTGGAGGCAAGAAGAAGAAGAAGCGCATCAACTTCACGCGCTTTTGCAAGGAGTTCAAGACGCGATACCTCTACATATGCCCCGATCCGTTTAGGTTTGGGCAAAAGGTGAGTATTCTCGAGTTTTGGAAAATCGAAATTTCTCAAAAAAAAAAAACTATCGATTGTCAGGTTAATTTTCAAAATACCAGGGTTGAAAAACCGCTACGCGGCTTTTCACCCCTGGCCCTTGCGCGAGGATCTTTAAAAGTTGGGCTTTGCATAATTCGGGCGAAGAGCTAGAGCGAACCCTAAAAAATAGCAAAAGCAACCGGCCGCGAGCGCGACAAAAGCGAAAATGTGGCTCCTAGCGCCCCGTATGCAAATTAGTCTATTTCCATATGTTTTTAAAACGTTAAAATAAGGTATAAAACGAAATTTTAGTAAAAATCTGATAAGCGTGCAGTAATCTACGCCCTCGACTACCCCTAACTACCTTTTTCTGGACCAAAAAAAATTCTTTCCCCTTCGAGTTATGGCTGGAACCCGGGTTTTTATGCAAAGTGTCTACACACACACAGACACTATTTTTTTATATATAGTAGGATAAACAATTATTTTTATCAATTTATGGCGATGAAAAACTACTAAAAATACTGTAAAAATAATATATCGCCAACAGGTATTGGTGGAAAATCAAAAAGCGGTTTTCCCCCTGCTAAAATCCCCCCCCCCCCCCCGCTAATATCCCAGAACCTAAAAAATAATCCATAGTAACGTCTTGCCCGTACCTTCAATCACTATATTTTTCAGGCAGTCCTATTCTGTCCAATCTACTCGGATCATTGCCACGTTCCACTGCCCGGCAAGCCGGTACTACCGGAGCGTAAGGGCCGACGGAGTAACAGTGTACAGCGATTGTGCGCCGCGTACAGGTACGTAGTTCGAGAACTTGTTTTTAAAAAGTCTAGTATTTCTGAATGAAAACTTTTAATTTCGATATTGAAAATGTAAAGTTAAAAATGTTTGCCCATTTTTTATCGGTTGCAAAAATCGATTTCACTAACTTTCAGGGGCTACGCGGAGCAGTATTGCAACAATGCCCTCCTCCTCTCCCAACCTCGATACCGCGACGGATGCGAAAAGTATTGGCGATTTTGTCTGCGCCGGAACGGATAAGGGAAGAAAACAATTTCTATCACTTTATAATGATCTCAATGGCAATAAAGCATTCAGGATAAATACGAAACAATAAAACGTTAAATGACGAGACATCGACACTCGTAGATCGTGTTGTAGGTATAGTGGAAGTTCATACACCTGAAAACACCTGAAGATAGAGTGTCGCTTTTTGGCAAAGAATTTGTTACTTTTAATCACTGAGAAATTTGTAAAGGTAAATAGTTTAAGGGTGGTTAAATCTCTTACCTTCCCGGGCAATACCCCTGAGGATCCATACATTGTCGGGTGAACGGGTTGAAGCCGCAAACGTGAGGTCTGAAAGTGGTACATTAAAATTTCTGCAAAGCGTTTCCAGGGATGGGTAGTTGTCGAGATCTAGCCGAGAGGAAGGGGTCGATTCTAGCGTTTACTAATAGTTTTTACCAGACATGGCAATTTCGGTCGGCCGGCCGCGGCCGACCGGCCGACGGCCTCATTAGCATAAAAAATCGGCCGTTTCCGGGCCGCCGACTCTATGCAAATGACTTCCGGTCGGCCGATCGGCCGGCCGACTTTTTTGGTCGGCTCGGCCGCGGCCGCGTCGGCCGGCCGACAATTCACACTCGAGAAAAAGTTTTACAGAAACGTGTCGCTGGCGCCTCTAGATTTTGAATAAATAAGGAATGGGTTTGGGCATTGGTTTTCACTATTCCCTAGGATGCCTGCCTACCAAATTTTATTTAAAAATCTTTATTTGATGTGGGGAAAGCGTGCTTTTTATGTCAACCCTGAATTTTTTTTGGAAGGTTGCCAGCTTCAATGATAATTCAATTTTGTAGTTTCAAGTAACGCAAAAATTTAGTCAGGGTGTTTCTATGACGAGTGGGCCTTTAGCTTCCTGAAACTTTTTTTTAATTGAATAATTTTGCGGCAATGAAGCAATCAGTGATGATAAAGCAAAGCAACAGCCACGTCAAATCCGTTGTAATCACGTCTAACCCTTCCGTCCGTTCACCTCTAACCGTTGCAACCCCATTATTTAACTAATTTCCTCAGTCTAAACATTTTTGGCCAAGTAAATCCCTTCATTAGCATCCAAAAATCTAATTTGGTTGCGGGTTTTCGGCCGTTTCCGGGCCGCGCGGCCGGCCGACATTTCGGCCGGCCGATTTGGCCGCGGCCGCGGCCGACCGGAAATGGCGGCCGGCCGATTTCGGCCGGCCGCATTCTAATTTTTTCGGCCGAAAAAGCCGATCGGCCGGCCGATTTGCCATGTCTGGTTTTACCCCCACTTACCGTAGCGTACCCTCATTCATCACGGGCTGGGGTAGCGTTTCCTTGGCTGGCACTACTCCGGACCGGATGTTGCCCTAGAAAAGGTAGACCGATGGATATCTTGGCTTCAATTTCCTATGGATACTTCCGTGGCGAGACCCAACGCAGACCGCACGCGCCACGCTTCAGCCCTGAACTGAATACATGACGCAACGGAAAAGCGGGCCTGCGCGTTGCGTGTCTCGGGCGAGGCAAAATGTAGTTTGTAGATTGTAGGTTGAATGGTCGCTACATCGCGCAAATTTTCAAGGCCAATGCCATCTTAGGGTCTTTCTCGCGTCGGCGACACGTAACGCGCCTACGTAATAGGCGCCGTAACGCGACGTAATCAATCACGAAGTGAAAAGCGTGCGCGTTGCGTGTCTCGGAGGCAAAAAATTCACGTAGGCCGCATAACGCTCGCTTGCTCGTATTTTTAAAGGAGCGGGCAAGGCCGATGATGGATTTTATAAGGCTATGGATATCCTGGACATTTTGTCCTGCCGCGATCCAGCGTGCGTTGGTTTAGGCGGGTAGATCCATCGTAATCCGTTATGCAATGAAAAAGCGAACTAGCGCGTTGCGTGTCGCTGCCCTTGCCTATATCAAAACCACTAAAACGTACCTGATTAGCCCCATACCAATGATTTGGATAGTACGGACCCTGGGCTGAAGTTAAGATAAAAAATATAGTAAAACTTAATAGCAGTGTTCTGCAAGGCATTTTTGGTAATATATAGATCAATTTATTCAGATTGAGGTGATTGGGGGTGTTTGGCATCGGGGGGATGAGGAGGTGGGGGGAGAACGAGACATTTTGATTGGCACAATGGGAGAGGAGGAGGGGGGCGATTCTCAATTGGAGTCAGGGTTGAGCATCACCGAGTTTTGGAGGTCAAATGGCTTATAATAACATTAGTTTACTGGAGAACTTCTTTATAATAGTTAATTTTTCGTTACTAGCATTAAATCGGGATTTAAACAACGTTTTTCCACGAGGCTAACCTGATCAAAACGATCGTTATGACTATTCAAAGTTTTAAAATTGAAGAGATTACTATATCGAGATTTATACGATTTTTATGCTATTTCTAAAACGCATAAAATTGTTGATATCATTTAGATTTGTCTTAGAAAACGGGCATGTGCTCTGGCGGTGCTTTGGCATTATCGGGGGTGGGAAACCAAAACCATCAGAAACATCTAGGCATTTTAAAGCTATTTTGGTCGAAAAATCCGGAGTTTTTGTATTTTTCATAAATTTATACAATTCTTACGTTTATGCATATACTAAAATACACATTTTAAATACTTTCTATTTATATTACAAAAATTGCCTACTAAGAAAAAGTTAGTCTACCCCCCTCCCCCCGATAATGGCAAAGGACCGCTTACTCTTAGTTTGGGGCTTATGATAACAGAGACATTTTTCAGGTTTAACCTCTATATATAACCAACTATAAGCTGAAAAACAAGGCCAAGAAAAGCACATAGTACAGGGCGTCAATAGGAGCGTTGCGTAGTCCGGCTTTTGTCGTGGTTTCCGGGGCGCCAGTCGTCACAACCGACGCTTGCGTCACTGGTGGTTGCTGCGCAATCTAAGCGGAATTTTTTGTATTTAAAATATAGCTTAAATTAGACTGATATACAGTTCAAACTGTCCAGAATATAAAAAATTAACTTTAAAATGTAAACTGTATGAAATTAATTATTTTAATTTTTAAAACGCTACCTCCATTAAACTAGAAATATTCAATGACTGCAAAATGGTCATATCCACGTCTGGAAACGCGTCAGAATCGAGGCGGGTGTTACACGAAGCTGTATGGCACGCGCAGACTCTTCTGGAGCATAAAAATCGTGTTATGACAGCTTCCAGCTCGACTTACGTGATATTATCCGGTCTGTAGCACAGCCCGGCGACGTTCGTATTGTTTACGGTGAAGGTGACGGCGTCTGTCGCGCATCCGCTTGCCATATAGTTGTCTTCGGTTACTAGAAAATATCCATAAGCTTCGCTTAGCTTAGCTTAGGCTTAGGCTCAGGCTTGGGACTGGGATTAGGCTTAAGCTTGAGGCTGGACTAAGCTTAAGCTTAGGCTTAGACTTAGGCTTAAGTATGAGCCTGGGCTTGGGCTTGTGTTTGGGCTAAGGCCGAGGCTTCGGCTTGGGATTGGGTTTTGGCTTAAGCTTAGGCTTAGGCATAGGCTTAGGTTTCGGATTTGACTTAAGCTTATGCATGCAAGCGCTTTCTAAGCTTCGGCTGTCAACTTTCCGCCGACTGTCACATTGCGCTACGCAACCCTACTATTTACGCAAAATACGGTACTCAATTCACCAACCAATATAACAAGCCGTTGCCGTACACACATCCTTCGACGGGCTGCACGTCCGCGAGCTGGTACAATTCTGAAAAAAACGTGTTTTTGGTCAAGCATTCGAATTTACATAGCAAGTAATCGTCTGCCCGACGACGAGGTACAGGCTGGAGATGATCGAGCCAAGGAGAAGCCGTCGCAACACCATTCCTGGAAAATGAATTTTGCGGGAATCTGCTGTTGATTCAGGAATTCCCTCGAGAGTTGTGGTCGTGGCCGGGAAAAGTCAAGAATTGACGCTAGAAAAGTTCTTCCGGTTTTTCTTCGTAAAAAGTACCGGATTACGGGGGTTACCCGGTGGCTGGAGGATTGGTCCGGAATGACTGTATAAAGCGGCCAAAATCCCGGCGGTCAAAAACTCGATAGGCCAATGTCCAGGCGGCTAAGATACCGACAACCAAAATGCCGGCAGGCCAAAATACCGACCGAGATATTCTTGACGCTGGTTCCGCTGCCACTGCATTTTAAGCATCCATTTGGGTTTTCGGGATTTTCGCTGTCGGGATTTTGTCGTCCTAGGCCTTTAAAAAGCCGGCTAGGCTGTACTTTATCCCCCCCCCGGGCCGGAACTTCCAACATTTGTCGTCATTTAGCTATTTTGTCGAAATTTTGGCTACGCCATTCGATATAGCGTCAAAAAAATCTACGAAAGTATTTCAATACATCCGTAAACAACGTAAAATAAAAAAGTTATAGCGAAAAAAATTGGGACCTTTCGGCTGGGTGGGGGGGGGGGGTTAAAGTAAAGTCTTACAAGAAGCCCCAGTAAGCCGGAAGGAATTGCGATTTTCTTCGCAAAAGCAGATTACCCATACGATTTGAAGTCCAAAAAAATATCCCGATTTATTCCTAGACCTGTTAGCCCTAAATCAACGCTGTTTTTCATTAAAAAGCACCTAGCCTGACTACGAAGCCATACAAATTACTAGGGCCGCGGCAAAAAAACCGGAAAAAGACTGGCCTCGGGGGGAAGTGGCAAATTCTGCGAAGCACCAAAGTAATCACCCGAAGGGAGCGGGCGAATCACCTAGCAACAGCCAAAAACCAACTATCCGCTACGTTTTCGGGGGCCATTTTTTGGATCCTTGGAGAGGAGGGGAAGATTGTTGTTGTTCGGCTTCCTAGCAATATTTGCTAGATAGAAAAGCACAAAAATAACCTTCAAGGCTTCATAAAATTAATCAGAAACAGCCTGGTTTGCCAAACCGGAAGTGCTGCTCAACAAGTTCAGCAAGTCCATCCGGCACCTATTGACAGGCTTCAAAAAACGTTGATTGGGTGCCTTTGGAAAAATGCGGTGCACCTGCCGGATTACGGTAGAAACGGCAAACGTGGAAGGGAGCCAGGTGGAATTTTTGGAACGCTTGTTCCACGACAACGGAAAATTGACCAGGATCTCGGTGTGGAAAACAAAGTATTTCATTTATCGTTTCCTTTAAAGGGACCGGTAAGTACGAGGCTCTACCCTCAATTTTGGCTAGGTCTCGACAACTACGGAACACACCAAATTACAGTTGTTATTTGTAGGTTTTTACTCATATAGCCGCTTACTCCAAATATTCAACGAAGCAAAAACCCGTCGAGCCCTAATCGATGAAATGGTAGATTTTTTGGCTTGCTAGGGCCTTTAAAGGGCAACGTACGACATGGCTATCGATTTCAAGCTGTTTTCACGCAACACACGCGACGACCTATCGATTACGCAACGAATTACGTTCTACTAGGTCGGTGCCTATTTCTCACGACAATCAAATTTGGGGCTGAAAAATGGCGGGAAATACTGTCATGGCCACCCACGGATCTCATTGACGCAACCCGACAAAATTTAATCGGAATCGGAATGATGGGGGAAGGGGTTTTGACGCGGAAAAGGGGGAACTCCGCAAATAGCTTCTGCTCGTATGCCGGTCATCAGTGAATCGCTGATAGACCGTCTTTCCTAAAGAACTTCTGCTAGCCTGTTTTTTTTCTAAAGAACCTTCGCTAAAGGCCCTTCTAGAAAAAAGACTTCTCTACCAGCCTGGCTTTTCCTAAAGAATCTCTGCTGGCTTCCCGCTTCCTAAAGCATCTTTGCTAGCTTGCGCTTTTCCTCAAATCACTGCTAGGTTGTCTTATCCTAAAGAACCCCTGCGATACTGCCGTATCCTAAAGAATCGTTGCTAGCTTGCCCGTTTTTTAAGGATGCTAGATTGTCTTTTCGTAAAGAACCTCTGCTAGACCACTTTCCTAAAGCATCTGTGCTACCATATGTTTTCCTCTCTCTCTCTCTGCTAGCCCCTTGTAACTTCTTACAGAATCTGTGCTAGACTACCCTTCCCCAAGGATCCCTGCTAGCCTGCGACTCCTAAAGGGTAGTTGCTAGCCTACCCTTCCTAAAGTATTTCTGCTAGCCTCGGTGCTGCTCCTAAAGAATCTTTTTAAGAAAGACCAAAGCTAAAAATCAAAAACTTCCCATCCGAAAAGAGTCATCTCCCGGTCGGCTTGTTCTGAAATCACGTGCCAGCCCTCCCTCCTAAAAAATAGGCCCTAATTCGGTCCCCTGAGATTTTTTCCCCTACCTGATTCCGTCCCCCCAACCAAAATTTTCCCACAATTTCATTAAAAACAAATTTTCAGGGAACCTGAAATGCGGAAATCAAGAAATAAATCTTAAGCCTTTTAACTCCCGGAAAATAGCTTAACTTTAAAAGAAAAAAATAAAAAAAATAGATCAATTATTAAAACAAAAGGCGGACCTGCAACTCGGAAGTCGAAAAATAAGAGGGATCCAAGTTTTTAAGGAGTTTTCTAACTTCCAGAAATCTGAAAATTATAGCTTCAAAAATTACCGATAATTTGCGGCAGCTCGCAGCGTCCCATTGCACCCAGGTAACAGGGAAAAGTCGCCGGGCCCTCGCCGCGCTAAATTATGGCCTGTGTTTCAAAAACTGACAATTTGAAGGTGGGAGGAAAAAAAGAAAAAAATTTGAATCAGTTGAAAATTCTGTTATTTTTGCTTTAAAGTTGGGAACAAAGAACACTTTTAAGGAACTCAGGATGCATGAGGTTCGACCCTTTCCGGCGGCTAGGTCTAGACAGCCAGCAAAAAAATATAAACTGAAGCCTGAAACAGCCAAAGCATAATCTTAGGCAACGCAGGGATTAGGCGTAAATTGAAGCCTATCTTAAGCCCAAAACTAAGCCGAAGCTAAGCCAAAAAATGAGCTTGAGAATCATCCAAGAACAAGCCGAGGAGCAAGTCTAACAAGGGAAGTGCACGACCGGCCCACGAGAAATCGACACGAGACATAGTCGATCTGATAGAATCGGATACGGGGATTCTGAATCTGTAATCAGAATTTGCTAAATAAAACGGAGAAAAAAGTTATGAAGCTTCAAAGTTGGCCAAATCGCCAAAAACCGTACCTTTAAGGGCCCGTAAAAACCGGTAGAACGGAATTGAGGAGAAAAGAATTAGTGCAGCTTGTTCAGCAGAAAAAGCGCTTTCGAATGAGCTGTAATACAGTAGCGTGCAAAAGGAAGGCAACACCCAGGAAGCTCTTGTAACTCGGCTGCCTCGTTATATTTGGAACAAACGGAATGTTTCCTAGTGTTTTCGAAGCTGTAGAATTCGATGAGCAGGATCCCAAGCCGCGAAAATGACGTTTAGTAGCTTAAATATGGAATTTAAAACAGCTCCAAAAAATCGACTTTTTCTAAAGGCATTTTTCCGTTTCAAAAACATCACCATCGTGTTCAGCATGGTCGATTTACCCAGAGTCAATGTTTCTGGTTGCTTAGTACGTCTTGAGTCGGCTAGGAAGCTACGATTAGTAGGGGTCGCCATCGGTCTGATGGGGGCGCCTGCAATACCTTTCCCCCAGGCGAACCCACTTCTTGACCCGTTTCGCGCAAAGAAAACGCGGCTTCCCGGCTAAACCAAGTCAAACCTGATCACAAACGACACTGACCTTGGGTAAATCGACCATGCTGAACACGATGGTGATGTTTTTGAAACGGAAAAATGCCTTTAGAAAAAGTCGATTTTTTGGAGCTATTTTAAATTCCATATTTAAGCTACTAAACGTCATTTTCGCGGCTTGGGATCCTGCTCATCGAATTCTACAGCATCCAAAACACTAGGAAACATTCCGTTTGGTGCAAAATATAACGAGGCAGCCGAGTTACAAGAGCTTCCTGGGTGTTGCCTTCTTTTTGCACGCTACTGTACGTAGCATTTGCAAACAATTCACTGAAAAAAGTTTTTTTGGATTCACAGGCAAGGGTATGGCCTGGCATAAGCATAAGCAGACGAGCATGCCAAAACCTAAGCCTACACGTGAGCCGAAAGCAAAGCCTTAGCCTAAAACCCGAACTCACTCCTTCGCCCAAGCCAATTAAACCAAAAGCTCAGCCGAGCCTATGTCCAAGCCTAAAGCTAGCCCATACGTAGCTACTTCACTTGCGTCGTCGAGAGCTACTCCAAAATAGAGCTCGATTTTCGCGTTTCCAAGGTACCTGAAGAATCCCCTTCAATTGCCTAAAAAACACCTAGAAAATTTTTAAAGTCTGGCTTGGGTTCAGCCGACAACAAGTGTGGGAAAGCCACGTTGAGCGTGGCCAGGAAATTGGGCCCATTGCCACCACCCGGTTACGTCTTTTATAAACCAGTGCGCCGGACAACCTGGAAATTATCGACGACAAATGTCATGACGGAAAAGACGGAAAAGCGCGGCGGATTTTTTGTATTTTTAGAAGAAAAACTACGCACTTGTCGTATTGACGAATGTCGAAAATGCACCTTGGAATCTATTAGGTATTTACGCGCGACTGGAACTTGCCTCAAGCCTAGGCCGATATGTGGAATGTCCCGCCGCGATTGGATTACGGTGGTAAGAGCAAAGTTTCTTACATTGCGCCGAATGCCAAATGAGCTAAATGCTGGCGGTGAACTGTTGAACGCCTCGAAAATGTCGTGGAGAAACCAACTGTTCTGAAATTTCTTGCATTACCCACGTGCGTTCGGGTTTGGCTTAGCCTGACTTGGCCGGGTCTTTAGCTTCGAATTTGGCTTACGTCCAGGCTTCGACTTGGGCCTGAGCTTAAATGTACACTAAAATCTTGTTCAAAAAGTTCGATCGCGGTAGGAAATTTAGGCTCTCCGCCGCAGCCGACCCAGCCCCTTCTTAGCGCCTCTCCCCTTCCCCCCTTCCCGTCTCTCCCTTGGCCTAGTGGTCCAAGGCGCTGCCGAGGCTGGCAGCCAGGGTTCGGTTTTGCTCGGCGGCGAGCGCCTACCGTATCCATGTTTGCTATCCTGCGGACGGTTACCGGCCGGTAACCAAACCAACGAGACTTTAGTGTACCTTTAAGGATGGGCCTATACTTACAAGGAGACGTTTTTGAGTGTCGTCGGGACTTTGGCACGGGACCAAGCCTATCGTGTGCAGAATTTTACGCTGATTCCGAATATGGTAACCGTTTTTGCGGAATAGCCAGTTCTCGAAAGATATGAACGATTTAAACCTCAAAACAGCCCAAAATCGGCTACTTTCGATAGTCATAAAAGGCTTCGGAATAGGTTTTAGACAAAACTTGATAGTGCATCTTGTTCAGAAAAAAATTCTCTATAAAATAAGCTACTTAGCTCAAAAATTCTGGGATTTTGAAAATTTTTGTAAAATGTAAAGTACATGTAAAGTAAACCTCCCAATTTATCAAATTTTTCCAACTTTTCAATGATTTTGGAAATGATGGTACATTTTATAGAGAATTTTTTCTGAACAAGATGCACTATCTGCTTTTGTCTAAAACCTATTCCGAAGCCGTTTATGACGATCGGAAGTAGCCGATTTTGGGGCGTTTTGGGGTTTAAATCGTTCATAACTTTCGAGAAATGGCTATTCCGCAAAAACCGTTATCATATTCGGAATCAGCGTAAAATTCTGCACAAGATAGGCTTGGTCCCGTGCCAAAGTCCCGACGACACTCAAAAACGTCTCCTTGTTAGGCTTGAGCATCTTAGAAGCCTAGATCGATCCTACTCAACAAGTACGGCCGACGCCTAAACATCACCTTGAATCTTGGCCTCAAGGCTCTGGCTTAGGAAATTTCCGAGGTAAAACCGTGTCGACCTCACACGTTTTAATGGGGCTTTTTAGTTGGTTTCAAATTCGCACCGAACGCCATTTTTCAGGTTCTTGCTTTTTCAGTATATTCTCTTACAATAGCGTTACGGTGGAACGTTTAAAAATTTGAGTTTTTCTTTTTTTAACCTTTTCGCTGGTGTATTTAGGATTCTCCCGTCACTCTAGCTTTTTATGTACTTTCCAGCGTCCTATAAATCTCCAGCAACGCAGATTGGTGTTCGTCGCCATCTTCCTGAGATTCCCAATCGGAATCGAGGGGGAGAGAGAGAGACAAAGAGAGAGCGAGCGAGAGAGAGAGAGAGAGAGAGAGAGAGAGAGAGAGAGAGAGAGAAAACGCCCATACGTCCTAATGAGAACGTGACGCCATCATTCACAGCGCTAAATTGCGCTCCGGTCAGCGAGCAAGTAAATACCGTAGGCCGGAGCAGCTCATTTTCTTCTAGTCTCCGGCACGTTCGCACGCTTTTTAGAGAAATTGCCATTCATCTTTCTCCTTACAGTAGATGGCAAACTTTTTGGCTCTGATTTTTTTGGACTTAAAAAATGGAATTTAGAAACAATCGTCAAGAATTTGTCGGGATTATCCTCTGCCGGTATTTTGGCCTGTCGGGATCCTTGCTCAATTCTGCCTTGCCCGTCCCTTTAATGCGCCCGTCTTCCAGGGTTTTCTGTGGTTGTCGGCATCCCTTTACCGCCGACCGTCATTTTGTAGCGGAGCGCACAGCCCTGGTTCCGATCCTCTCAATATTGCGGTCAGATTAGCGCAACATTGACGTGCGATATTACAAGCGTCTATCGCAAAATGTAGTCGAAGGGCTTCTCAATCTCCAAAAAACCACGACCGAGGCCAAGAAAAAGAATTTTCCGCCCCTCGCGGGGCAGTAGATAGGAAATTGCCTGGGGCCATTTTCTAGCAGTTCAATGTTTTCGTCTGGCTTTTGCGTTGGTTGCGTTTACTTTTCTAGTGACGCCGCGTGGGTCTGACGACGAAAACTTCGTTTTGCCAATGATACCATGCGGCTCCTTAACTTCTTCATCGTTTAAAGCCTTAAAGACATGGAGAAGGCGATCATATATTTTTGGCCATGGATTTTGGGAGATTCCCTATGGAATTGAGAGCCGCGCGACACGCAACGCGCACGCACCGTTAACTGCTAGTAAATCGCCAGGGATACCTGCAGCAATTAAAGTGCAGATGCGGGCACCGTAAAATCCGTAATCGTACCCTTTACCCATGCGTCATTTGTAGCGCCGCGTACTTTCCGGTCCCTTTATGTCGACCAAGCAGCAGACGCGTGACGTACGGCGCCATCCCGACATGCCAAAATCCCGGCAGCGAAAATGTCGACAGCAAAATCCTGACAAATAAAATCCCGATATGCAAAATAGCGGTTTAAAAGGGAGTGCCGTTCAGATTAGAGTCAAGAATAGATCGGGATTTTGAATTGTCTTGATTTGAGCTTGTCGGGATTTTAGCTTTTAGGATTTTGGCTTCGGGACTTTGGCAGGAATTCCTTTCTAGGTGCATCTAACCGGCTCAAATCTTCCTAAGGTCAAATAGTTATTATTCGTAGCCTTAAATTTGCAGACGAGACCAGTGTCTGGCCACCTCGGCTACTACTTCGTATTCAATTAGATCGGCGAGGGCGGGTTCTATACACGCACAACGAGTAGTGTATATATAGTATAGTATCGTGCAGTACATCAGGCTCAGACAGCTTTGCTATTTTCTACTTTTAATACTCAGAATCTACTGCTCAAAACAGCGATAAAGGTAAGTTCTGGACTTAAGCTTAGGCTTAGGTTTTAGCCTAGGCTTGGGTTTGGGCTTACGCTAAGGCTTAGGTTTTAGCTTAGTCCTAGGTTTTAGCTTAAGCTTAGGATTAGGCTTAGGCTTATGCTTGAGCTTAGGCTTGGACTTACAAGCTTGTTAGGTTTGGGCTTGCGCTAAGGCTTAGGCTTAGGCTTGAGCTTGGACTACGGCCCTGCTATCACCATGCGGAAGCCCCTAACCCCCAACCCCCACCGCTCCAAAAAAAATTAGTGATGTGGGAGGAATTTTGGAATTCTCGCTCGTGTTCTTCGGCATCCCGGGGGGAATGGCGAGCGTGGGAAAACAATCAGGATACGATTTCCGAATGGAACCTGACCACGTAATCATTTTAACCGGCGCCCGGATTTGCTTTTTGCGGTTATTTCCGGTTGGTAATGCCTCGTGGTAGCTATTGCTAAAAACGCCCATTAACTTAAAAATAAATTTTCAACATCTTGTAAAAAAAAACTGGAAATCATCTCCATCCAATAGGGCCCAGATGACTACGCAGCGCTCCGAATGACACGTGGCGTAAGGAGGAGAGTTGCGTGTCGCGACGCGGCAAAATTTTTTTAGCAGGTTCTCTCGGAATTTGGCGGCGGCGCGAAGCGCAGCGCACGGGCCTCTTAGCCAAACGTAATAGATTACCGCATGAAATAGCGGTACGCGCGTCGCGTGTCGCGGCAAAATCCACAGCCATCCCTTGCCCGTTTCTTCAAAAAAATTTCCGATACGCAATACTTTTCACAACCCACGAAATGGCCCTAATCTACGATAGTACAGTTGCCTTTCAAAAGGCTCCCCGAAAAGGCAACGCTCAATTCTACGTAATTACCAACCCCGGCCGCCTCATTTATTTAATTACGCGCAATTTCCGCGTGACGATGGAAACATTTTGGCAGTGAGTGGTAAAGGTTGGCCGGCTAGAGCATGTTCTGACCCTCACTTCCCCACATCCCACGCATTCCACCCCAAAACCCATCGAAAAACGTGTCCGCCTCGGCCATAGTGCTTGAAAATGCATCTGCATGGGTTTCGGAACCCGACGTTTTGGTAGCGGCTTTTTGAATCTTCCAAAAAGTTACTTCCGGTTTTTGTTGGTTTTAAGAATGCCTAGAACGCGATTTTTTTAGATATAAACTGTAATAGTTATTAGAAACAAAAGAAATCGAGCAAAATATGGAAATAGCTGTTTCAATCATATGTTTCCAAAACCAGGTTTTTGATATTAAGCTATCACAAAAATGGCTTCACATTCTTAGTTTTTAAAGAGCCTAGCTTTTTAAGGCTTTAAAAATTGTAAAAATGATTAGCAAAGAGCAAAAAGTTGCTTATGTGTTGAATAAAATTAGGTGCTTTTCCATTATCGGGGGAGGGATTTATCTCGCGAACGCCAACTTTTTCCTTAGGATCCAATTTTTTTGGCCTAAATATAGGAAATATTTTTACAAGGTTTTACACTTGCCAAACCCAAAATATTTTTTTAATTTTTTTTTCACCAAACTGTCAAAAATTTCCAAAATTTTATAGTTAGTTTTTCCACCTGAAATGTAGTTAACTTTCACTAAAAACAATTAAAAAAAACTTACTATTAAGTTGCTATCATTTTTGACCTATACAAAATACTTTCCTTCCGCCACCGATAATGCAAAAGCACCGAAAAAATCTAACAAAGCAAGATCTCATTAATCCAATATTAACATGACGCCTTCCGGTATAATTCTAGAAAAGGTCGAATTTTGCGAGTTTCCCGAAGGCGCCACTTCCGGTTTTTAACCTAATACCTGTCTACACGACTTAAAATGGCAATAAGATGATGACTTTGGTCAAAATTTCAAAAAATGTGCCCTTTCCCCTATTCGGACACCCTCGAGACATCAATCCGCTTAGAATCGCTTGAGCCAAAAACACTTTGTCAGCCCTTCCCCTTGCCCCTCCCACCGTAATCCGCATATTTGTAACCAAAAATTCAGCCCGATCCTTCGGGTATCGCATACGGTAGTTGAGTATTTCCGTAGGCGGACCCTCACCATTTATTCAGGCTATCCTCTCCTACTTCCCCTCTAAAGTGCACCCTCCCCGCATTCCAGATGTTGGCCGAAATTTTGAGGATGCTGCTCGTCGTCTGTATCGCCTCGTTGCTAATGGTAGGCTGGAAACTCGTGATTTTTTGCGTTATCGGGGGGATCGACCCTTTCCTTAGGTAAAAAATTTTTCTAATATAAACCGAGGCAGTGCTTCTAGACTTGCTTGCTTTTCCTAAATACGAAAATTATACAAATTTTCATCAAAAATATCGATTTTTCCACGAAAAATGGCTGATTTTCTACTTAAATGTCAAAATTTCGAATGTTAGAAAGTTTTTCAGCTTCCAAAGAGCTAAATTTTACTAAAAACACTGTAAAGCGCTTACTATTCCGTTACTAGGCATTTATAAACTTACAAAAAATTTACCCCCCGATAACACAAAAGAAACCAAAAACGGTATCAAAAATCTACTATATTTTTCTTTAGGTCTCCGCCCACCCGCAAGACGAATGCATGACGAGCGAGGACTGCTACCCCGGGCAAATTTGCACGCTAGGGCTTGGGCATAATGTATGTTACATTTTGTAGATATTTTTTGAAATCAACGATAATTTTACCTACCATAAGCTGAATTATGGCAATTCCAGGTGTGCTACGACTACCCGTTGTACCTGCAGGGCCGAAGAAAGCGATCAACGCCCGTGGAAGACCCCGTCGAATGCGCCAAGGGGTTTGTATTGGTCATTTTAGGTTTATGCGGACAGAAAAAGAGGATAGAGCCCTCTCAAGTTGCATTTGTTGATCCATAACTCCGATTTAAATACCAAATACGCAACCATTTTCGAAGAATTCAGCGAATAAAAGAAGCGAAGAAAAGAAGAGAAGAAAATCGATTTTACGGCTGTTAAAATCAAACCTGAAGGACTATTTGGCGCAAAACGTACCTACATAACTATGCGTAATCCGTTCTTCCAGAAAGTGCCCAGTCGCCGAGTGCAAAAGCCGGATTTGCCGTGACAAGACGAACAACTGAATCAAAAAAATCGCATGACCACGTTGGCCTCCTCCTGAGATTGGGTGTAAATAAATGCTTCTTGGTTTTTGCTCACAGCAGTGGACTAAAAGCTTTCTGTTCACAAGAAACGCCAAATTTCGGATACGCCCGCATCGTCCTACCTTTTGTATCTCGGCTCCCCGCTATGCTACATGGGCGTCAAGTATACCAAAACACTCGTCATGCCAAGACGAGTATTTTGATAGACTCTACAGCTCTGTAGCACAGCGGGGAGTCGATATACGCAGTAAAAACGTTGGCGCCGGTGTGGGACTGACCCTCTACAGTATCCCGTCGTTTTTGCGGGATAGGACTGTGAACTACACCAAAATGTTCGTCTTGGCCTGGCGAGTATCTTGGTATACTTTACACTCCCGTAGGACAACCGGGAGCCGAGATGCAAAAGCTTAAGACCGGCGGTCTGGCGCAATTTCGGACGTAGACCTGCACCTCAGAAGCGCACATTGTCGTATCTAATTTATTGCAAACGCTGGTATTTGCACATTTCTGGCTTTGCTATATAACGCCTTGTTAATGCCGCGTTTTACGACCCACGATCGCGTGCGATATGCCATAAATCTTCGCGGAAACCAAAAGTTCACACCTCACAAAGGAGCCGACGGGCACATAAATAAGATAGCATATAAATCGGACGGTGGTAATAGAAAAAGTACGGAGCTACCGGTAGCGATGGCTGTCGTGCTGTTGGTGTTGGTGTTTGGCCATGTTCTTGCGCAGGTAAGGCTTTGGATTAGGCCTAGCTCAGGCTTCTCTTTAGGCCGTGCTTTCGTAATATCGGGGGGGGAATTGGTGTGAGCCCAGTTTTTCAAGATTTTAAGTCCAGAAATTCTTAGAAACATAATAATAGGTATTATAATAGTGGTTTTAGTAAAATTTAACGCTATTCCAATGCAAAAACCATATAAAAACTCTGAAACTGTTCTAAAAAAATCCGAAATTTCTATCAAAATTAGGCGGTGTTTGGTCGAAAATCGGTATTTTTGGATTTTTTTTATGCAAATTTACAACGTTTCTAGGTTTAGCAATAATATAAAAAACAGTTGAAAAAATTCCTCTCTTCTGATTACAAAAAAATGGTTACAAGAGCAAAAGGTTGGCTTCCTTGATACTCCCTCCCCCGTTAACGCCAAAGAACCCCTTAAGATTGGGCTTTTTCCAGGCCATGCTTTAGCCTGTGAGTACCGTATACTTTTTTGCTTATTAACTATTATCCTTTTTCAGCCACAACTATTACCAATCCAACTTCCGGCCGCCGAGGCCCCGTTGGTCGTTAGCCAGAATGTAAGGAATCTTCCTTTTTTTCACTAAATGCCACCCTACAGATCGATATCAACATTGACCTCGATTTCCTGAAAGATCTCCTCAAAAACTCGGACGATGAGTGGAAAAAGAATTGGGACGATGATAGTGATGAGGATTGGCATAAGCATAGCCATCGGCACAGCCATAGTCGAGGTGACAGCTCGGAAGAAGACCCTCCAAGACCGTGGCCCGGCCCGGGGCCCAGGCCCGCACCGGGACCCGGGCCCAGACCTGGACCTGGAACACAATGTAAGCGTCATCGTTTTAAAAGGGTTTCTGCGTTAGTTATACTTAAGCCATTTGAGTTTAAGTATTTTTTCGCATTATCGGGCGGGGGGGGGGTGGAGAAAAAGAAAAAAATTTTTCTCCGGGGTAAATTTTTTTGAATATAAATAGCGGAAGTGTTTCTAAATCTTTTACACTCCCTAAGCGTAAAACCTTACAAATTTTTATTAAAAAATACAAAAACTTTTGATTTTTCGACCAAAAATGGCCGTTTTTGACCAAAATATCGACTTTTTGAAAAATTTTCCAAAGTTTTTAGGTATTTTTCTAGTTAAAATATCGTAATATTTTACTAAAAACATTATGAAAAGAATTCCTATTAAGTTACTAGATATTTCTAAATTAACAAAAAAATTCGTCCCCCCGATAATGCGAAAGAACCGGCGTTTCAGATAGGTATCGTCAATGCTCGGCGGCTAAAGGCGGCATCAGAGGTGGCCCGGTGAGTTTTTACAATGTTCTCAATCTTATCTCAATTAAATTACCCCCATAAAATCCGTAAATTCTAGTGGATCGTCCCGACGATGATGGCCGGCTTCCGGGGCCGAGAAATCAGCAGCAACATCCCAAAATGCAAACAAGCCTGCTACCGAGCGCCCGGCTGCCAAGGTTGACGCAATTTTACCACAAAAATCCTAGCAAATACCTTGCAGGAATCGAGGTGCACGAAGGGAAATGCTACCAAGCATGGGGCCAGTGGATCTCAAACCTTCCAAGGAGTGTCAGCAACATCGAGTGGAAGGCTGAGAGCTGCTTCCTAGGTGGATAACATCTGAAATCGTCAATTTTTCGCATTAGAACTTAAGAAAAGCCTGGTCGGAATGCCGCGTTGGTATATCGTGCAGCAGGACAAGCATGCGTGGAATTTCCCGAAACCCCCGAACCCCTACTACCGCTCCATGACGATGAACAAGGAAAATGGGTACGGGTTCCTTGTTTCCCCAAAATCTATGCTAAAACTGGTTCTTTCGCATTAGCGGGGGGGGGGGTGAAAATTTTTTGTATGAATCTAGAACTGTTTAATAAATTAATAGGAAGTATTTTCACAATGCTTTTAGAAAACTTTGAAAATATTTTTGAAAGTTTCTACGTTTAGCCATAGTAAAAACAGTTTATCGGTTATTTATTCGTTCCTAAGAAACCGCCCCCCCCCCCCCACCGATAATGCGAAAGAACCCTAGAATGTTCTGCATTTCGAAGAGCCAGGTGACGAGCTGTAATCTGGTGCAGCTGTCGGAAAAAGACCGTGGGTATTTTTGGCCATTTTCATTAAAGTCGGCTAAGTTGCGTAAAGCTGTGCAATCCGCTGATCCCAAATCCGGGGTCAGGTGGTGTTTCTGAAGAGATCTCGAGAGAGAAAGATCAAAAACTAATCCAAATTCAGATCGTTTGTCGGTCGGGCTGGCCGGCACGAGGGTCGGATACGTGGCCAAAGAGCAAGGTGAATGCGGGGCCCATCTGGTACTATTTAAAAAGCTCGTTAAAAAGTATTTTCTGATTTAGCCCGTCTGGGAGTATCGCAGGACTAATGGCGGTGAGCTTAACTTTTTCTAAACCTTTGATACCTTCTACTTTTCCAATAAAAGTTTAGATTATGTCTATTTACCGGCAGGCTTCCTCCCCAAGACAGCCCACACGAAAGTCGGCAGGTCGAATAAACCCAAGACGCCTGAAGCATCTAAAATTCAGACTCTTCTACGCCTGGGTGAATTATGGCGATCGAGTGCGAAATCTCCGGAACTGTCAGCCCTTTGGCCCGTAAATGACGGCTAAGAAGACGTTTACCTAATATGATTTTTTGCAAAAATAAATTATTACTGGATGACGCGAGCTCGTGATTTTTAAACGTGCCCTTTGTGCCGAAACACTGGCCCTCCAGCGCTACAGCGGTAAAACCGAAAAATAAACAAAGTTAAAGGGATGCCGACGGCATAGTCAATCGGTTACGCGCTGGAAAGAAAATGTCTCTGCGCCTCTCGCCAGGGGGCGCTCTCTGCCCTGTTGGCTACTTGCCAATTTATTGATGGGGGGGATCGACACATGCCGTCGGCAGCCCTTTAAATAAATTAAACCAAAACCAATAACTAAAGCTAGTGTTTTTCATCTTTGAAAAAAAATCATGGATAAAAAATTCCATAGTGCAACGCCTTCCGCCAGCCCTGAATGAGTATTGGATCGGAAAACCGGATGCCGTAAATTTTTGTTTTTAGTTTGCAAAAAAATCAAATTTTCCGTTTTGTTTCACCGTTTTGAAATTTCCGAGTAATTTTATATATTAGGCGAAGTACCTTATAAAACTAAGCTTTTTGGCTGTCTTGACGCGCACCTTACAATGTTTGTTAGATGTTTGAAACGCGTTATGAAGCTTGGCAGCTTAGCTTCAGGAGATTACGCCGGTTCTCCGGTGTTTATTCTTCGTGTTTCGGGAAATTAGCCGTGTTTATTCACGGGTTCAAACGCGTTAAAAGTTTTTGAACACATCGGCGTTTTTAATCTGTGTTTTTTGTATGTGAAATTCTTTCTTTCCATCCAGGACTTTTCCTTATTCACTTACATCCACGATTTTCAGGTAACAGAGCTCACCTTGGGTTGAACGTTCCCAAATGACACAACTGGCCGAGCTGACGCCACGCCGCAAGCCGGCGTGTGCCGCTTTTCTCGTGGACACGAAAGCGCAGGCGCGAGATCGGGCTGGATGGCGAGAGTTTGCGAGAAAGGTACTCGCACCCGAATTTCCTTTATTATAATTTAGGTGAACAATTTCCTGGCGCCGCTTTCCGCCGTCGATGAGCGCGCACACAAAGTGGTCAAAAATCACTTTCACGCATACCTGATGCCGAAGCCCGACTTTGCCGACTACTTGCTGAAGACGTCTGGAGACGAATATTACCTGCGAGCGCAATACAAAAACGTCGTCGCCGCCGACAAGTACCATCTGGTGCTCAGGGCGCCGGTACATGTGATCCCAAATTTGGATGGCGATACGTTGCTCTTATTCGAGGTACATTTTGTAAAATGTAGTGGATTGTTAACCACAACGTAGCTTGATTATGGTATTTTTTGCATTCCAGATATTTCGGCGCCTTGGCTTCCCGGAGGGATCGACAAAGTTCCTTTTTCTTGGAAACTACGCTGGCGACACCGCTTTATCGACGGCACTGATGAATTTCATGCTGGCGCTCAAGATTGTATGCCCGGACAACGTCTTCTTGCTGCGTGGAAGGGCGGAAATCCCCGATGGGATCCGACCATTTGCGAAGAAATACTGGGAGCGACAAGTGCGCGAATGGCAAGACATTTTCAAATGGATGCCCGCGTCCGCGTCGATCTTTGACCAAGGCGCCATCTTCTGCACGAATCACGGACTTGGCTTGCCCTACACCACGAAGATGATAGAAACAAGTCTAAAGATGACACTGCCGCAACGATTTGATATGGAACAAAGGAAGGTGCAGCCGATTTGTCGTGACACCATGGACGTTGCTATGAAGTGAGTTTTTTGCTGTTTTCTAATATAAATGGGGGCTTCTTAGCTGGTTTCGCTGATTTAAAGATTACTAAAAATAGCTTTTCAATCCAAGTTTTTAAAACGGGCTCCTAGCTTTTCTGATAAATACGGAACCGCCAGTCCAAGTTCTTTTTGTTTCATTTCAATTTTTCAGAAACTTCATGAAACGGGAACGCGTGGACCTGGTGTGCGAGGCGGCCAACCACCTTCGTGAGGCTTGCATGCTTGCATCAGACATGGAACGCCTCTACCTAGGCCACAACGAAGACCCATTGCTGAAAACGTAACACCCTTCCCAATTAAGTACAGTTTTTAGGTCGGAGGCTGTCATCCTGTGCGTTGAGGAGAATTGTCGACAGTTGATGTGCTTTGAATGCGCGGGCCCAAAAACATAGGCATACGCATTCGAATGAGTTGTTTTTTATTAGAAATATAAATATTATAAATATAAGTTTTTGATCACCGAAATTGCGAGTGGAGGGAACTTGAAAAGAAGTGGCAGCTTCCCCCGGCCTTTCTGTACTCGTTTCGAGCGTTTTTAGGCTTTTTTTTCAGGCGTTCTTCAGTCCTTTCAAATTTTGAAATTTTGCATTGCGTTTTGTTTGGGGTATCACTTTTCTAGCTTTTTGGTCTATAGGTTTTCTCTTTACTTCTTTTCGATGCGCGCAACGTTAGGCGATGAAATGGGCGAAGGTCCCGGATAGCCACAGGCTACGGTAAATAATGGGCGCCTGGAGCCAACGCGACGTAATGGGAACCGGTCTGGCTCACAGCTGGCCAAGTCAAGGAAAGATCGAAAATGAGGGGTGTTGAGGACTGATATGGCTTGCCCGGACACTGCCAACGGGAATCCCACTTTTTCTTCGATTTCAGCGAGTGTTGGCTAGGCAAAACGGCGCGTGCGTTTAGACCTCTTAAAGTACCATTGTTTTGGGAGTGTGACATGTGAAAATATAGGGCAAAAGTTTGGAGGGTATCTCATTTGACGCATTCAATAACTGGGGAATTCGGAAGTTCTTGTCACCCAGTGTTTTCCTTTCCGTGGCCGTCCCCCCGTTCCGCACACACGCGAGAGGCGCCGTTACGCATCGATCCCGATCGGCCACGTCGCCATTGACAGTCTGTTCTGCGGCAGGCATTTCCCCCCAGAGCATGGCTGTTTGACGCATTTCCGGCTAAAAGCTGCTTTAAATTCGATCAAATCTGATTCCCTTTTATTTTCTCTGCCCAGGCTTATCTCTCTGCGATTTTATGGATCCTTTCACAATTTGAACTTGTTCTCCGTTTTTTTTCATACGACCCGGATTCAAGCAAAAAAAATATCGTCCACTTTCAGGATGGGCGACGGGGAAACCGGTCCATCAAAGGTCGATCTCCAAAATGCCATGCGCAAGCTGCGCAGTTTACCCGCAAACAAGGTATATATTTTTTTTTCTTCGCTAAATTCTTTTGGATTATAGACCTGCTTTGACTGCGGTGCGCGCAACCCGACCTGGTCCTCCGTCACCTATGGCGTTTTCTTGTGCATCGACTGTTCGGCTGTACATCGTAACCTGGGAGTGCACATCACTTTTGTAAGTTTTATAGTTTATAAAGGTGCGCCCGACCGAGCTTTCGCTGGACCTATCAACAAATCCTTCGTTTTACAGGTCCGTTCGACCAACCTCGATCTCTGCTGGACTTGGGTTCAATTGAGACATATGCAAGTCGGCGGAAACGCGAATGCCGTAAGGAATTATACTATTCTGTTAAAATTTTCGCTGGTTTAGACCCAATTCTTCAAACAACACGGCTGCAACACCAACGACGCCCAGATAAAATACAAAAGTCGCGCTGCCAACCTCTACAAGGTGTGTTTCCGCTGATCTAGATGATTTTGTCAATCTTTCGGTTCTCAAATCCTGTTTCAGGAGAAACTTGCTCAGCTTGCCCAACAGGCTCAGCGGGCCAACGGCAACAAGCTCTACATTGAATCCGGACCAGCCAGCGCGCCCGATCCTGAAGAGAAGGTTCTATAGGATTTTCGTTTTACCGTGAACAGCGTATTCAGGGTGACGATGATTTCTTTGCCCAGGACCACTCCTTCGAGGCCACCCCCGTTTCCACACTGACCCCTTCTCAGGTATAAAATTACGCTTTATTGAAATAGCGCATCATATTTCCGCCTAAATGCGCTTTTTATAGCTTTTTCCGCAAAATTGAAGTTGCTTCAGGTACACACCTCCAACTCGACGAACTCGCTAGGTGCCGATGCTTTCATCAACGACGAGTCGCAGGGCCCGCGCGTGGATCACTTGGACTCGGTTGCTGCCTCTACTAAAGCGCCTGAGGTATGGAAGTTTTTTTCACCCACTTACCTCTCATCCAGGTCAAGTCCGTCCTCCTAAAAAAGCCGATCAAGAAGGTCGGCGCGGCTTCGAAGAAGGGTGGGCTCGGTGCTCAGAAGGTAATTCCTGCCAAACAAACAATCATTTTCTTTTTGTAGCTCAATGTTAACTTTGATGAACTGGAACAGAAGGCCGCCCTGGCTGAGAAAGCGGCGCTCGAGGCCGCAGCTGCCGAAAAGTTGTCGTACAAGGAGGAGGAAGCCGCTGAAGATAAGCCAGCCGTTCGCGAGATTTCCGCCCGGCTTGCCATGCAAAATATCGACGACCAGCGCAAGAAAAACGAGGTTTTATTGGCTAAGGTATACTAACGGAAGTGTATTTTAGGCTAAAGTCAAGGATGACCCGACAAAAGCCGCAACGGTTGATCGACTCGGCATGGGTGGGATCGGGCGTGGTGGACAGGCTCGCGGCATCCACTCTCTCACTTCTGGTATCCGCACTATTCAGCAGGTGGCTCTTATTCTAGCCTTTTTTTAAATTCTGTTTAGAATGACTCTTCCCGAGCCTTCGCCCCTCCGCCGCCGAAGGAGGATGACTGGGAGGTGGTGAACAATAATGACTTTGGTCATGAGGAATCGACTGGTGGCAGTGGAAAGGTAGGGGAAGGGCTACGTACAAAATGTCGAAATTCACATCAAGAAATCCTCCAAATCCCACACAAAAAATTTCGACGTTATGATATTTTAACATCATGATATTTCGACTCTATCATAGCAAGCCCAAAGAAGCCATCAATGTTTAGCTGTTCCTTTTAGGATGACGATCTTTGGACGACCGACTTCACGAAAAAGAAGGCCGAGAAGGAGGACGATTTCTTCGATTCCTTTGAGAGCAAAAGGTATTCGTCTATCGCTTTTTCAAAGCTTTTCTTTAGCAAACCGTCGGCCTATTCGTCGAAAAGTCAGCCCACCGGCTACTCAAACCGCGGGAACAGCGGCCCACAGAATGCCGTCGCCAATGACGTAAGTGTATTCTTCATTCGATTTAACCGGCTTTAGGTGGACCCGAAAAAGTTTGCGAACGCGAAGGCCATTTCTTCAGAGATGTACTTTGGCAAGAATGAGATGGACGTAAGTTTTTTGCTGTGTGTTTTGGGTCACATATAAGATGTCGTTTTTTGGTGATAATGAATTTTTTTCGATCTGACGGAAAGCTAGAAAACGTAGCTTGCAAACCTGAACAAGCCCATGATTCAAAAAACTCGACGTCTTCTGACCATTTCCGTTCAGCAATTTTTGAAAGATCCGGCTTGTTCAGGATTCAGAATTTTATTTATCCGATGAGCCATGCGCAGGGACGTAGCGTAATACCCCCCGGCCCCCCGAAATCGGCCGGGGCCCGAAAATGTGATTTGGTGTGTACCCTTATGATTTTCATTTTCTCAAAAATTTTGCTGCCTGCGGCGCTATTTTTTCACTTATTTACGGCTATTTGTAGAGCTATGTAACCTTTTTTTCAAAAAATTTTGCCTGCGGCGCTGTTTTCTCGTTAATGTTTTGAGTTTTTTGGAAAAAATTTTTGGCCCCCCCCCCGGAAATTTTTTTCTGGCTACGCCCCTGGCCATGCGTTTTAGATTAGATCGCAAAACACTATTATCACCTCTGAAAAACGACTTACAGTTCTCCTGTAGAAAAACCCCTAAAATTTTTCAATTTCAGTTTGAGACCAAGGCGGCGCTCAGCCGATTCGAGGGCCAGACGTCGTTGGGCTCGGCGGATCTGTGGGGCGGCGGCCAGCAGGCTCAGCCCAGCCAGGTAGATTGTTTTTGCAAAACAACATTGATTTCCTTAGATGCCTGACATGAGCGACATCAAGGACAGCATGCGTGCCGGTGCGAGTAAAGTTGCCGAGAAGATCGGCACCCTGGGCAGCGCTTTCAGCAGTTACATGGGGGTGAGCTTTTTCGCGTATTTCACGGGTCTGCACCGGCCCGTGCGCCAATCCCACCTGAAGAACGAGTGAAGAGCGAAGTGCCCCCCTCCTGTCAACCAACCATCTCCATTCACACACCCCGTTTTGCCCCCCGATTCTCATTCCCAGCCGTACACTTCCAATTCCCCCTATTCAGCGGACACCGGCCTCAAAGTCCTAACGAGGCATACACGTATACCCAACGTAAGCCCATGTATATATTAGTTGCGTGGGGTTGCTTTTTTTCTTTTTATACAGTGTTTAGTCTTTTATAGTTTGTTCTTTTAATTTCCGGGTTCTTGCGCAATATCGGGGGGGAAGGGCTCCTGAGGATAGAATTTTCCTAAAGAACTGGAGGAAGTTTTTCTTTTTAAATTGTTTTTGCACTAACTGAAACGCTAAGAATGCGCAAATGTTGATCAAACGATACAAAACTTTCGATTTCCAGCGCAACAATTCTCTATTGCCGTCCAAATTGAATTTTGAACTATATTAACAGGTTTTCTAATTAGCCTTCCCACTTGAAACATGGCTAAGTTTCACATAAAAAATGTTTTAAAATACTTCAAGTAGGTTATTACGCATTTTTGGGCTTGTAGGGACAAAAAATTGGGTTTCCCCCTGATATTGCGAAGGAAAATATTGTTTTCTTTTGTGTCAATGTGTAGTCTCCTCTTGGTTTTCGTCTGTTGCCACCGTCGTGACAAGCTTTCCCATGTTTTATGTTGTGCTTTTTAACCCGAGTAAACGTGTGACCGCCTTCGTGTCGTTTTTGGGGTTGGTTTTTACTGGGACCATTTTTTTCTGGGCTCGCTTTGGTTGCTTCTGATGCTGCGGGATGCGCAGTGCTGTCGCGGCGGCGTGTGGCTGCCATTGGAACTGGGTTTTTGTTGGGGATCTTTCTGGCGCTTTGGTCCACAAAATCGCGATACATTGATGCTCTTTTCAGAACTACTAACGCCCTGGCCTGCGGAATGGAACAACGACAAGTCAACCTTATTACAAAATTAAATTATTGAAATGTGATATTCCCTAGATCCATTGCGAATTCGCCAACCTTTCAGCTTATGTTTTGGCTTCGCATTCACCTCCGTCCCCCTTTCCCCGACGGCATATCGACCTCTCTTTTTTTGGTGGCCACCGGTTTTTGTGCCCATTCTCTAACAATCCCTCCCTTTCCGTGAACTGGTCTTGTGGCATTCGTTTTTTTGAATATTAGATGTGTTAGTAGAGTTTTGCAATGTGACCACTATGTGGAGGTGGCCCGCGGGCTTCTCGTGAAAATAAAGAATTATTCTTATGCATTGAAGAGTAACAGCCACAAGAAGCGAAGACACACCGAACTGATATTGATGGGGGGTTAGGCTTCCGTATCAGCTCTTATCAATATTGATATTTGACGTGGATAAGTGAAGAACGTGGGCATTCTGCTGCATTAATAGAGCGCTTTAGGCCGCGAGCATCTGCAAAGAGCTTTTTTCATTTCATTAACAAAAATTTTTTAAGTTCTCTACTAAAATATTGTAAAAAGTAAATATGTAGTCAAAACTTCTTCCAGTTATGGCACCCCGCCGCTGCCTACCATCAGATTATGAGATCAATTGTCGTGAAATGGAGAGGGACAAAGACACCTTGGTTGTTGTCGATAATCTCAAGGTGCGCTCCAGCTTTTTGGCTGCCAATTTTGATGTAGTTGATGAACGCCGCGTGTGCACCCGATGCGAATGACTTCGTCAAGAAGAGGTTCCTGATGGCGATGCTGCACGAGTCGAATTACAACGCCACCGCCCCAGAATCGCTGGAGGAAATCTGGTAAGTTGGCAGGCTGGCATGTGATGAACGATTTCTTGCTAAGGATGGCCTGGGGCACCGTGAAAAAGCATCTGATGAAGGCGGGTCCGATGTGCAATTTGATCAGGGAGCATGAGAACAAGCTGAAAGACGGCGACTTACGACAACTGATGTAAGGAATGATTGATTTTCTATCAGAATTTTGACATTCGAAATGCCGATACGCTTATTTTCGAAATTAACAATGAGGGAACTTGGATTGTCGAAATTTATTTTGTCGACATGGAGATTAAGAATGCCAGCATACCTGCCAAAATTTAACATGAAAAATCTTCGAGAAAATCTCCCAAATACAAGGCCGAAATGCAACTATGAAACTCGGCTGGAAAATCGGCATTTCGGATTTCGATATTTTGAAAATAAGTTTTTTAGCACCATCGGTCGCATTGATCCCCAACGGCTTTCATCGCTTCTTCGAATCTATTGCCGGATTGTCGCCTTGGTTCGATGACATTGATTACGAAACGAAAAATCTAGGAAAACTTTTTGGGCCCAGTTAACGTCGAGAAGATCATCCAGGCCGTTGCGGCCGCTGGCAACTGGCCCATCGAGTTTCCGCTCTATCAAACCCTGCCCCAATTTAACGTACGTTTTTGGTGAAATGCGTTTTGAAATCTGATATTTAGGTGAAACCTCTGAAGTGGCTACGGAAGCTGAAGGGGGTTGATGCGACTGTGGTAATAATATGGTGGTGTTTGAAAACCGGTGTTTAGGACCGTAAAGTCCTGGTGTTCTCGATCCGAGACTGGGCTGCTCTCTTCTTTATTCGTTATTTCCTGCATTTGCTGAGGTTGGGCCTTATTTTGAAATGTTATTGTTTTAGGGAGGTCTGCCATCCCGTTCAAGCCAACAGGGACAGCACCCAAACTCTCTATTCCGAAAGGATTTATCGACGATTGAAGTCGGCGCTTTATTTTTACAATTTTTGTGTTTTAGGGGTCTAGGTTTCCACTCCTACATGGAAGAGGGCGAAACAAAACGATTGGAGCCGATAGAAGAGCAGCCAGCGGAGGTAATTGGTTTTTGTTGTTGTTGCAGATGCTTGTTTTGAGAGCATTTGTCGACAGCTGTGGACGGTGGTTGAAGGGAAGAAGACCCGCTCACTGGCCGCTTTCAACGTGTTAGATGCGAAATGGGACGAGCGGCGCCTGAACGAAGGGCTGCGGGGCTGTCTGCTGGTGCACCCGAATCGTTCGTTTTATCGCAGATTTTCTCGGTTCTGCATCGTTATCTAGGGACCAAAATTAAGGTTTTAAACATGATCTTAGCTTACTAATGAATACTATTATCCGAGCAAATAGTTATTTTTTTAGTATAAAAACATATTTAAAAACGTATCAACTCGTTTAAACATCTCAATTTTTGGCGAAAATGAAATTAAATGACCAACAATGCTCGAAAATGCCAATTTTTAAATTTCGAATGAATATCTTTAGTGTTTTACTTCCATTTAGTAAAATTGCGTTGGTCTCGCCCTCCAAATTTTGATCCGGATGATGATCCACAGCAACTCGGAGGTTTTTAGACATGCGGGACTGCGCGAAAATGGTGGCCGAAGCCAAGCTGAAATTGGGCGATCGCCCCGCGTTTGTGCTGAAGACGGATATCTCAAAGTGCTACGACAACATCATCATAGAGGAGCTCTTCCGCATTGTCGAACGAACCATAAACGAGTAAATTTTCGTTCATACGACATCTATCCGTCCTTTAGCGCCTTCAAAAGATCCGGCTGTCCGCAAATGTTCGTCTACGACGTAGAGTGGCGCCGTCGGCATTACTGTGGCTCTGGATTCTCACCGAAAACTGTAGGCGATTTGATATATAGCTAATCTGTATCGATTAGGCCCTGCGATCATTGTATGGAAAATTGCCAGAGGATGGACGGAAGGGGGTGAAGCAGACAACCAAGATTCAGCTGAAGGTGGGCCCTTGTTTCGAAGCTGCTTTAAAATCGACCTAAGCGTACGAATTTACAAAATTTTATTAAGAGTGACGAAAAAGATCGAATTTTTGAGAAAGTCTTCTAAGTTTTTTAATAATTAAATTTTACTAAAAAGCCATTAAAACAGTTACCGTATGACGTTTCTAGGCATTTCTCGACTTTTAGGAAGAAAATTAGGCCCCTAGATTATCCAAAGGACCTTTTTGTAGCTAAAAATATAAACTTTCTTGCTTTAAAAAGTTTCACAAGCTGAAATCCTTTATTTTTGTTCCTTTTAGAAATTTGACGCGTCATCCCTACTCTCCGGCATCAAACAATCGTTTGCAATTCCGGTACGAAACTTTTCTCTTAAAAATGTGGCTCGATTTAGTTGAAGCACAGCGCGCGATATTACAAACAAATCCGCGGCATCCCTCAAGGTTCGGCCATGTCGTGCACGCTGTGCTATCTCTACATTACCGAACTCCTTGAAAAGGTATCTGGTATACTTGTTATTATTATCACCTATTTTTTTACAGTCTATTCCCGGTGGTCTGACGAGTCCGGGGCTAACGGTACTGTACTACGTTGACGATCTGCTGATTATTGATCAAGAACTGGGACGAGTGAAACAGGTTTGTCGCGATTTGTCTGTTTTACGGTATTTAGGCGGCCCGTAATCTTCTCGGCGGCACGATGGGATTGAAGGCGTCGGCCGCGAAGACATTTGTCAATTTCAAAATCAATGGGCTTGGCAATAAGGTACAAAATTCAAAGGAAATTATGTTTTTTCATCTGTAATTTCCAGATCCGTCTCTCTCATCGTTTCCAATGGACTTCATGGGAATTGGATAGTCGCACGCTGTCGGTATGGTTTTTCGGATCCAATTTCCTGCCTTATATAATTTTGGAGTGTATCTGTGTGTGTGTGTGTGTGTGTGTGTCCGGCGCCAGGGAGGGCTACTTTGCATAATTCCAAAAAATACAAATTTCCTCATTTCTCAAAAATACAAATTTCCACGCGGGTGTGGTCGGAGGAAGGGAGGGGGTCCGAAGGACCCAAGCTATTGGAAAGTCAAATTTCTCATGCAAAGGCCGCATTCCAGCGCCCAAGGCCCGCGAAGCGGGTTTTGGGCGCTGGTTTTACTATAAAAAGTTTTTCTACGCTGTTTTTGAATATTTATATACGTGAAAAATTTTCAATTTTGAATAAAAATCCAGATTTTTTGACCAAATTACAGGGTTTTAAACGTTTTCCTGTTTTGTAAATAGTGTTTTAGTTACACTAAGCTAATTTTGATTAGATACCTATTGAATAATACTCGACTTATTGGAAAAGTCGCTCAAAACGCGGAATTACCTATCATTTTCCAGGTAAAGCCTTTCAACAAGATCGGCACGTCTCGGCTGCGAATCCTCGGCAAGCATTCGCCATTCGGGAATGTCCGGAGGATGGCCCGCCTGATGCTCAGAAGCGGTCGCCTTCATTTGGTAGATCATCATCGCTTACCTACAACCCATTTTAGCTACCGCGTGTAACGACAGAATTACGGAAGAACACTGCACTTCACAGCTACGTGGATTCGGCATGTTCGGTGCTGAGCCCGGCCCTATATAGGTGAGCAAACCGATTCGGTATATAATTTTTGCTTAGGCGCTATTTTCTGAAACTCATCCGGGGCAAGCCGCCGATCCCGAGTTGGAAGGCGAAGAAGCTGGCGCTGGCTGAAAAGAAGCTGGCTGCTTGACCAAGGTGTTTTTATCCTTATTTTTCGCGGGTTGTGTTTTTGTGATCTCTCTCGTTCTTTGATACGGGTTCATATTTTGTGCGAATAAATTGTTGAATGCTGGGCATGACACCGTTGTAACTCCGGCCAAAATTGTGGTTTTTCCGTACTTTCTTATGCGTTGGGAAAGGCTTTACAATGGAGTTTCTTGGCTGTAAAGTTTGGTATTTGAAATTGGGTTTGAATTTATAGATTCTGCCGCGTCGGCATGACGCGACATTTGCGAATTGCCCGTTAATCCGTAATTTATAGCCAAGAAAGTAGATGGTCAGAGACTTAAAAAAATTTCAGCTTGTTTTTAGAAAGATTGCATGCCCATTGCATAAAAATCCAATGCAACTTTTGACTAATCTCTACCGTAATACGGCCTTTGCTCCAAAAAGAAAGAAATAAAGAAAGAAGGCTGGGCTCTTCGAATTCACGAATTCATGAACCAGGGAGATGAGGCGATGCGACCACCCAGCGCGCTGTCCGCCTTTTTTGCTGCTTGGAACGGTCGTTTGCCGGACGCTGTTCGATGCATATTTTAGTCGCCGTGAAGTATGAAAAGCGCGCGTCATATTTTCTCGCACATTTCGAGCCGCAGGCTTGTTTTCGAGTGTTCCACAAGAAGCTGGTAACCCGGTTTTGCGGCATAATGCATCTCATTCGACGGAGCTTGAAATTCTGAAAAAGTCCCGCCTTTCGAAAACCACTAAACGATAGGGTCGTCGAGGAAAGCTTTCAAAGTTTAGATTTTGCTAAACGGTGGGTAAAATCGACCCTTTCGAAGCAAATTTTCTCGAAAACCGCAGTAGTTCGGCGGTTTTTAAAAGATGAAATTGGTCCAGAAGTTCAAGCTCTATCGAATGATCCATACAAAATCGTAAAATCGCTAGAGCTAAAGACGGCCGGGCAAAAACCAAGCCCCAAAGCCAAAATAAATATATGGAAGCGCTCCTGACGTTTAATCAGCCGTCAGTTCAATTCTTGTTGCTCGGGGCAAAGCTCTGGTTTATTCTGAATCTTCTTGGCCTGAAGGTAAGTTATTCATCATATTTTCCCGTTTGCTAGTGTCTTCGACGTAGCTAAAGTGACGCCGCACTTTAGCTTCTGACGAATCTCAACCGGAATCCGGCCTTTGCTCCAAACAGAAAGGTTGTCGCAGACCAGCCGGATTCTATTGTTGCCCCTCATTCTCCCTTATACCTGGTAAATTTTTCTCATTATAACAGCACCTGCTGTAACGGCAGCTGATTCCTAGCGCCTACCCTTGGCCCTACCGTATCCATTCTAGGAATAGACGATCGGGGCACGAGAGGAGAAACTACCTGACAAACATGAAAAGTCGAAATTCTGAGAATACTGGGAATGGGGGAGCGGTCACGAGTAGTGGGTACGATTCGGAGAAAGACTTTGCTCGGCTATAAAGGGACCCAAGGGCCCCAATCGATCTAGGGTTTTCGACGATTTTCTATAGAAGCGTAGTTTAGCAGTGTCGATGTCGTTGTTTAGTGTCGATGATTGTTATTCTCTAGTTTTTCCGTCACTTCCGGCTGATCGTAAATCTAACTTTTTTACAGTACGACTTCGCTTTTTGCGCGAAAGATCCATTCGGTAGTTTTTGAAAAATTAGAAAATAGGAGCTTTAAAAGGCTTATTCTTGGCAGCAGCCTCCGAATTTTGCTGCAAATGAAATGTACACATTTTCCCGTCCATACCTTACAAAGTCTGAAGATCAACCAACTTCAGCTACTATTTCGAAATAAGGAACAATGTGTAAATTTCGACATGTGTATTTTCGGGATGAAAAATTCGTGGTCTACGCTTTGATATGTTCAGGCCATGGTTTATTTTAGATGGCCATTGGCTGATGAGAGAGAGAGAGAGAGAGAGAGAGAGAGAGAGATAGGGCGATAGGGAGTGAGAGAATGAGAGAAGGAGAGCATTCGAAGGATACCCGACGGGCTGATTTGATTACTCGCTGCCCATAATTCATTTCTTCCCCTGGGTGCCCCTCGGCATTCTCGATCGCCTCCAATGCTTCCAGTCTTTTTTTGGCTATTTATGGGGTTCAGAATCGTGTTCTAGTGTCGTTTTGGGATTCACAACTTTAGAATTTTTTTAGAAACTTTTTTTTTAGGAAAACAAGGTCTTAAGAGGGGGCGACTACTTCAAAAACACTAATCCGACGTCACTGGGCGAGGTCGAGTGTATTCGGGAAGGTCTTGTAAGGACAATATTTCTCTATCTTTCTTTCTCTCTCTCTCTCTCTCTCTCTCTCTCTCGAGTTTCCACTGTCGGATCACTGAATAAAGAATATTTCGCCTTTGTTTCTTAATAAACTGGTTGAAAGATCTTTGACTAAAAAACGTAAAGCCTGAAAAGATACCTCCCGCCTTTAATTTCCTTCTTTCCTTCATCGACTGTTGCCATCTCTCTCTCTCTCTCTCTCTCTCTCTCTCCAAGCCTCCCAATTATACACCCATTATCCGCTCCGGATCCACGCGCCGCTCCCATTTTCGATTATTCACCGCCCGCCAATTTCTGAATGCCTAAATGAGCATCGGAACGCTTCGCGGAAAATTTAAAGGGACGGGCAATGAATTTGGGTTATGGATTTTTGCCGTGATACGACCGCGACCTTCAACGCGCGCAGTCCATTTGATTGCGTAATGGATTACGATCCCTGAAGTAGAAGTCGCCGTCTCTCTCTCTCTCACTCTCTCTCGCTCTCTCTCTCACTTTCATGCTATATCTTTCTCGCTCTCTTTCTCATCCTCTCGTTCACACACCTCTCGATCTTTGTATCAGACGAATCTCTAACTTATCTGTTTCTCCCGTTTTGGCGAAATATCTCTCTCACTTTGTGTATCTCGCTCCTATCTCTCGCTCTGCACCTCTCTCTCTCACTCTTGGTCTCTCTCTTCTTGCTCCCTCTCTCGTTCTTGCTCTCTCTCCCTCCTTACCTCATGCTACCGTAACAGCAACCTCCCAAGAAAATCCTCCTCCACCGTATCCCATCAATTCCACCTGTTTCTTCTCGTTAAGACCTCCCAAATCCCTGTAGGCATCTCGTCTCCCAATTATTCGCCCACCCCCTTTCCCAATTAGGCCTCCAAAATGGTTGGCATATTTGCCGAGCCACGTGTGGGTGGGACTAAAAAAGGTGGAAAAAGGGGGGGGGGCTGCACACGGTTCTTTGTCTTTGCCGTGTGGATGGCTTATCGCGGGGGTTTTTGTTCTGATTGGCAGGGCGGGAAGTCTAGACTAGACGCCACCTCTAATTAGCTATGCTTTCATAGCGGCTAGGTATGCTAGGGCTAGGGCTTAAGCTTAGCTTTAGGTATAGGCTTAGGCATGGCTTAGCTTAGCTGATGCATGGCGTGGCTGTCATGTGTCGCATGTTTTTGGGCCTGAATCCTTCCAAAGTGATTCAATAGATTTACCGGACCGGCAAGCCGGTTTGACACGTTCCGTAGAAACCCTTCTCTCTCTCTCTCTCTCTCTCTCTCTCTCGCTCTCTATCTCTCTTTCTCTGACTTTGGCAAAATCCTCCCGTTTTGCATTATGCATTCAAAATTATTCTTCCCCTCCATCTGGTACCCAGCAAAATTCATGTAGGTTTTGCCTGAATTTGCTGCCCCTAAAATTTTAACTTCATCCCGAAATGACTGTTGTTTTATGTTGTTTAACTATCGTCGCCTCAGCATAACAAAGCCTTCTTTAATTTTATGATAATACCTTTCCGCTTATGTCGGCGCTGTCCCATTTCCGACAGACGCGCCAACCCTCCGGCTGCAGCTGATAAGCCCATTTTTCTTCCGGCAACGCCTCGCCCCGATTTTTCATCGCTGGGCCCGGTTTCAAAGCTGGTACCCTGTTTCATCGCTTGCAAGTTAAATCGCGTTTAGTGTTAAGAAAGGCCGCGAAAAAAACCGCGGAAAATGGCCCCAGACGCTGTTGGGTTGGGCGCGAGTTGATGAAAGATTCAGCGTCTGCATCTTCTCTCTCTTTATGTCCCCTCTCTCTCTCTCTCTTTCTCTCTCTCTCTCTCTCTCTCTCTCTCTATCATCGTCGGCTCTAAGAGAAGTGCGGGAAATGAGAATCTCCATTTTGGAGGGTCTTCCTCGCTATTCTTGCCCATCTTAATTTAGGCCATAGGGTGGGTAGAGTCTGCTTCGATTCCTGGCTAATTTAGTTTCACTTTAGGCATCGATACTTAATGACCACGTCACATTGTAGAGCGTACTAGGTACGTATATGTCACTGAGCGGCCTTTTGGCCCGACGTATCGTAACGTAGCACCCTGTCTTTAGCCGTAGCGTAAGGTACACTAACGTCCATAAGTCTTACTTTTTTGTACGGCGATGATACATTTTTCGGCATAGCATCGGGTTTCTCAGCGCCCCGAAACGTAACGGAGCGCAAATGATAGCGTTCGTGGCGTAAGGTTTCGTAAATTGTAGTTTGGCCTGGCTAGCCGTGGTTTAGCGTATCTCAGCGTAGCACAGCTTATATTAAAGGGATGCCGACGGCATAGTCAATCGATTACGCGCGGAAAAGAAAATACCTCTGCGCCTCTCCCCTGGGCGTGCTCTCTCCCCTGTTGGCTACTTGCCAATTCGTTGATGAGGGGGGATCGACACATGCCGTCGGCAGCCCTTTAAGGCAGGATCGCTATGACGTATTAATTTAGCGTAACGTATCTTAACGTAGCACGGCGTATTTTAATATAAAGTATCGTAGCTTAAGATAGTATAGCGAATATTCACGCAGCAGCTCTATTTTAACGTAGCATACCGTAGCTTATCGTATCGTACTTGGCGTAGTCTAGCGTAGCTTGACGTAGTCTAGAGTATCTTAATGTAGTGTAGCGTATACTAATGTAGTCTAGCCAAGCGTATCTTACGATTCTTAAGGGTGTCTTACCGTAGTATAGCGTATCTTCATTTAATCTAACTCGCCGTACATCGAAA